TCAGCTATAACAGGTGTTTTAGGCATCATTGTATACATTCGTTGAGCATAAACCTCTGCAGGTGTGTTGTGATGAATCTGGTATTTAAAGAAAATCATATGAAGCATATATTTATAAAACAATATTAATAAGGTAATATGCAACTCAACTAATGCACTGTGACAACATTAGTATATTTTATTGATATAAAATAGTACCTTATAAAACATTCCTGGTTGGCCTTTCACTGGCTTAAATTCCTCATCTTTTTTTACATTATTAAAATCACTTTCATAGTCTGAATCACTGTCCCCTGAAAATTGGAGTCCTTTTTCTTCAATCAATTGTCTGGAAGCAGTTACACTAGTAATGGTTTGTGTAACTTGTAAATCTTTGGATTGCTTTCGTTTTTTGAGGTCAGCAGATATAACTTCTGCTCGCTTTATTTGATTGGTTTGAGAATCAAAGTGAGAAGAAGATCCCTAAAAAGAAAAGTAACAAAATGTATGTTAATCATTAGTTATTTGAAACTAAAAAGGAATAAGAAGCACAAACAGTACTTTGTTTCCTGAACTTCCACTGGAACTGGCTTTTTCATCATCAACACTCAAGTAGTTTGGTTTTTCAGTGCTGTTATTTCCAGAACTAGCAACACTTGTTGCCCTTATACTCAAGTGAGAAAGTTCACGAAAATTTACATCAGTTTTGGAGCCATATATTGGTCTCTCACCATCTATATTTTCTTCTTCTTGTATAGTTCTAACTGGGGCACTTAAAAGTCCAGAAGTAAATTGCAGCTCAACTTCATACTCTTTTTGGCCAGCCATGTATCTATAAAACAGCTTTTTAATACTTACAAATTATCAATAATGTTAAAAAAGTAAAAATAGTGCAAATAATTACTATAAATTTACCTTGGTAATTTAATAATTTCAAAATAGAAATTACAAAGCCAATTCTCCAAGTCATCAGCCATTAGCTTTTCAATAACCTCAAATTTATCAATTCCAGGATCCATACTTCCTCTCAAAAACGGGGCTTTATATCTGAATAATTTTGCATAGTTATATATTTTACTTAAACACACATGTAAATAAAAATGTGACTGTAGTCATTATACTTCAATACAAAAAGCACTAATAACATTTTAAATAAAAAATTTATGCTAAATTAAGAAAGAAAAAAAGTTAATATATTTTAAATAATATTTTATCAAAACAACATTTAAAGATAAATAAAAATCATGCCAAAAAAAAAATTAATAGGACAATAATAATAAAATATAAATAACATACATTTATAAAACCAAAAACTTTTGAAGAAAATATAAATTTGTTTAAAAATACAGTTTAGGACTCCCTAAAAAAGAAAACTACTATATAGCTTTTATTTTTCTTCTTTTAAAAAAATGGTGTTAGATGGTGTTAGATGGTGTTAGATGGCTTTTGTTGCATAAGTTAAGGAATGCTGCAAAACGTTACAAAACTGCAAACCTCTGCTATAATGATAAAACTTATGTCAGCAACTTAAAAAATAAAAGCTTTTATTGTTTCACCTTAGAATCATGTTTAATTTTTGAATTTACCTACACTTCTTGATTATTCAAGTATTCAAAACACATTGCTACATACAGGCCACTCTACAGACAGCATTTTGTCAACCATAAATTACCAAGTATTAAAATTTTGATAAGAATTACTTTAAAAATTTGATTAAAGGTATAATGGAACTTTTGAAATTTTTTTTGAAGAGTGTTAAAAATACAAAATGTAAATTTATATTGCTGTTTCATAAAAATTATATTAAATCCAGACCAAGTTATCATGAAGGTGGATTGTTAACATACTCTGCTGATCAAACTGGTGTCTTTGCCAGGTTGTTATTTGGAAGACCAGAGCTTTTAGTTAATAATATTGCTATCAGTCACTTAAATGTCTTATTAAAAAGTGCAAACCAATTATTGAAACAAATAATAAACACCTAAACAAAAAACTGTTATCAATTATTGTTTAATGGAAATGGGGAAAATCTAAGATTTTTTTAAAACAATCAACAAAATACAATAGAAACTTTGGTACAAAAATGTTAAGTACACAAATTTTTCTTTAATTATGTTCATGCAATCAAATTAATTCAAATTATTTGGTCGCCTAAAGAAAATAAATTTTTGAGTTTAATAGTAATAAACATGAAGTAAAGAAAATTGTTTTAAAAAAATCTTTATAAGTCGGAATCCTCAAGACTTGATCTCTACAAAACCAATGCAACTATAGAAAGTTGGTACATGTTATGAGAATAAATTGCTTCAACTTGAATCTATTGATTGAAAAAAGTTGACATTATTAACTTCATTTGCATACCTGTAAAATTTTGAAAAACTTGTGGAAAGAAATTGTGTTGGAACAGTTTTGGTATGAGATAAGGGTATGCAGTTATTTTATTTATAGCAATCAACTTTATACATTGATAGTTAAAGAAAAAATACTAATATTAATATAGAATTTTACTATTTTTATTAAATTTATTAATTTTATCATAGAAAATGTGATCCATACATTAATGATTTCAATGCATTAAGTCTTGTTATTCCTATGAGAATGTTGTTTAGTGGTTTATATTTTGTTTGATTTTATTTAAACAGATATCAGAAGAATTTTGAAACTGATAAAAGTGATGATGACGGCATTCCTATTTGTATTGCAAAAGTTTCAATTTAGTATTGGTAATCTAAATTGCTGCACATAAGCAAATATTTTTGTAAAAAATCTAGCAATAATAAAATCTCTGAGATTACAAAAAAGTTAAAAGAATGACATCACAATTAGCCTTTATATAAACTGTTATAAACTATTATATATTTATTCTGATTGCTGTAACTGTCTGCATAGCTCCGAGTCAACAAAAAGTACAACACTTTGTCAAAGTCTATGTTTCTAGAACAGTCTAATCTTGAATTTAATGTTCAAAAACAGTTTCAAATTTTATTTTTAGCACTTATCATGAAGGCTACTATATTTTTAGTATACATAAGACATACATAATAAACCTTATACTTTATATTTAGCTGTAAATTTAGATCTTGAATACTTTAAAAAAAGTAATTAAAAACCAAATAATTCTATAACATTTCCTTCTATAACATTCAATATAATGTAACTTACTTTCCTTCTATAACATTGAACTCAGCATCACACACAGGAAAACAGCCCCAGCCAACGACTTTGTCAATAGGAGTTACTGGTCCCCTAAGTATAAACAGCTCAAAAACCAGCACCATACCTGGACGAATATCAGGACGAGAAGGGCAAACTGTAAACACACTCTGATCAACCTTAAAAATTGGAATTATTTATTAGTATGTTAGGAATTATCATTATTACTTAAATTTAATTATTTATTTATCTTATTTATAGTATTATTTTAGTATCTTACATAATTTAATTAAGTAAACTTTTTAATTTAAGTTTAAAAAAGATTTAGATTTTTCAAGATTTATTTTAATTGTAATCCATTTAATATAGATATTTATAGTTTAAGACTGTTAAAAAACCTTTTTGATTTACTTATCTTTATAATAAATAATATATACCATCAAATAAATTAATAAGAAAAATTGGTAATTTCAGTAAAAACTACATGTGAAAACTTATCATAAAGTTTCTTCACACAATATTTAAAAACTCTATATAATCAGTATAAAACTTTTTCATTCAAAAAACTCAATAAAGGCAACCAACAATAAAGTTGGAAAATATTAGGAAATAAAGAAAATAGTTAAAGGAAGATAACAGTTGACAAAGAACATAAAAATTGGTAAATTTCAAGAGTCAGTAAACAATAACAAAATTCAATGGCACTGATGTTTAAAGAATTAGATGAATAAGAGTATTTTAAGCAGGAAAAAACAGTCATTGTAAACAGATGTAACTTGAATGACAAGTCATATGAGATTGAATCTCTGCACAAAACTAGAGATGAAATATGCAAACAAGAGATAAAATGTGGTAGTGAGAGTTGTAAGCAAGAAGTTTCGAGTTTAATACTCACCATGTCCCTGGTAGTATCACACTCAAATTGTTTCTCTGTTCATCAGCCTTGTTATCAATGTTTGTGTTTTGGGGTTTAGTAGTTGATAAAGGGTTGTAACCACTTGTGCTGGCTGTAATGCCAGTTATATTGGAGAAACCTCCAGACATTTGGCAACTAGAATAAATGAACACCTTAAAAGTGATAAACAATCTCATATATTTAAACACCTAAATTTATCTATTAATTGCAAAAATATGGCTGACTGTGATTCTTTTGAGATTTTGGATAATGCCCGAACCAAATACAAACTGAAAATAAAAGAAGCCATCCACATTAAATGGGAAAGTCCCTCACTAAATAAACAAACTTCACAATATGCTATAAACTTATCTATTTAATTTTACTGTCAGTTTATTATTATTATTATTATTTTTGACAGCTAGTTATTTTGATTGGTTATTTACCGAGTTATTTTCTAATAAATATATTGATTCATTATGTTAATTTTTGTCCGTTATTATTTCTCTGTAAAGACTTTTTTAATATTTATTTCAGAGTTTTATTATAGTAAAATAGTCTTTTGAAAATGTAAATAAAATTTTACGAAACATGTCAAGAATAAAAAAATTTGTGTTATTTATAAAAATATATATATGTATATATATATATATATATATATATATATATATATATATATATATATATATATATATATATATATATATATATATATCTTATACTGCTGAGTTAGGTGTGCATGGTGATGTCATACTTACCTAACGTCAAACAGCCTGCTGCCGGGGGCTTCAGTACATACATCGACTGACAAATAGCCTGACTTGCAGTGGAGTGCTGCTACATCGACTGAGGGTTTGGTATGGGTTAGCAACCTTTTCATTCATTATTCTTCATTTTCCCTCATCATTTTCTAAAAATGCTCACTTAATGTATATATCCTTAAAGTGTAGTCGAAAGTGCCTTTTAATGTGAAAAAAGTCTCTTTCGACTACAATTTTAATTACCTCGTCTCTTAAGCTGTATTTGATTGTCGTCGAAATGTCAAAGCAATTAAATTAATGCAGAAGTACATTAAATTTTATTGTTTTTTAAAAAATTTTTAAAATATAATAACGACTAGAAAATTTTTTTTAATTAATAACAACGGGCCAATAATAACGACTAGAAAATTTTTTTTAATTAGTGGTGTTTTTGTTTTTGTTTTATTATAAAACATTTTTAAAACATGCGTAAATGTTGCTACATCGACTATCTTATAGCCTGCTGCTACAAGGGAGTGTTTCTACATCGACAATCTTATAGCCTGACTCGCAACGGAGTGCTGCTACATCGACTGACAAATAGCCTGACTCGCAAGGGAGTGCTGCTACATCAACTGACAATTAGCCTGACTCGCAAGGGAGTGCTGCTACAACGACTGAAAAATAGCCTGACTCGCAAGGGAGTGCTGCTACATCGACTGAGGGTTTGGTTTGGGCAGGCAGTCTATCATTTTAAAAAAAAGAAAAATTTTTAAAAAAAAAAAGTTTTTAAAATTTTTCTGGTCTGGTTTATTAATGCGCTCTTTAAAACTACAGTTTATGGGAAACTCTTTTTATATATAAACAATTTTAAAATGTATTCTACAAAATAGAGTGCTCAATGTTCTTAAAAGAACAGAGCAATTATAAACATGATTTTGAAACATGATTTTGAAAATGACCTATTGCATTCAATTAAAACAATAATCTAATGAAAATGTATTCCATTCCTCTAAACAGATATTTGAAGAACCCCTCAAAAAAAGTGGTTTTGAAAATTTTGAACTAAAATTTGACATTGAAAAAAATAAAAAATAAAATAAAAAAACGAAATAGAACTTGAAATATAATTTGGTTCAACCCCCCATATAGCAACAATGTTTCCACTATCAAAAGTGTTTTTAAAATTGGTTGATAAGCATTTCCCGCCCTCTAATAAATTACATAAAATTTTTAATTGAAATACAATTAAAGTTAGCTACAGTTGCACAAAAAAATAGAAAGAATTATAAAAGGTCAAAATAATGCTTTGTTAAACAAAATGTGGTATGTAAATGTGTTGTTTCCTCTAAGAATGTACCTGATAAACAATTTATTGGCATAACCGAGGGTGAATGGAAAAAACACTTTTCCAATCATATGCAAACTTTTAAAAATAAAAAGTATTCAAAAGACACCATGCTGTCAAAATATATATGGGAATTAAAAGATAAAAGTATTGATGATTTTATACTGAATTGGTCCATCCTTAAAACAGCGCCTGCATTTCCAAAAAATGCATACTATTCCTACAAGAAAAATTATTACATATGCAAATCAAGAATGTTGATTAAACAAAAAATCAGAATTAATTTCTGAATGCAGGAACAAAAATAAATTTCTCGTAAAAAACTATAAAAATAAATGAGCTCAAATAATAGTTACATTTAATCCCCCTTTTGAAAATTTTTTTTTTTTTAAAGCATAAGTAATCATTTCTAAAGAATTCTTTTTATAATAGTGTAAGCAAATTTAAATATATATATATATATATATATATATATATATATATATATATATATATATATATATATATATATATATATATATATATATATATAAATTCAAAAAAGAAGAACTGGTTATTTTGTCATTGTAAAATCGTAAAATTTCCTAATTAAAAAAATTTATTTCAGTGAATTTCAGTCCAATTTTAATGTAATATGTGTATAACACATGAAAAAACTGCCAAGGGGGACTTTCTCCAGGTTTTCTTTTTTTTTTAAAGAAATTTCAAGTAATATTAAGTAATAATCAAAAATTTCAAAAAAATTATCAAATTTTAGTCCGATTTTTATGTTGTTTTTGTCTAAACAAATATGAAAAAGAAAAAACAAATGGCATTAAGATTAACTATTTGTTTGGCAAAGTTACATATTCATGTTGAAACATATATTTACAGTATAAATAATCAAATTTAATTGTCTTTTAAAAAAATGTTTCTTAAATCTTTTTTAAAGTGCAGCTAAGGTATTAATAGTCTTTGGATCAGTTTTTGTATGGATATAGCTCCCAAATTGAGTTGGACATTCTTACTTAACCTGAATCAAGTGTCTCCATACTCAGAACCTTTCTGTATCTCTCTGATAGTTTTAATGGTAAACTTCCTAGATTCCTTATCTAAGCTTGCTATAAGGAAAAAAACCAAAAATTCAGAATGAGCAAAATAGTTTTAATAGTGTTACTATGTGTTTGGGGGCCTTAACAATGCTGTGTTTCACTTTGATTTTATACCACATGTGAAAATACACTTGAACTACCCATTTTAAAATTAAGTGAAATCTTTATAGCACATCATCAGTAAAGCCATGGTCATTCATATAGAGAAAAATAATAGCTATGGAAAAGATAACCACACTTAACCTTTTTTAAGATTTGGATCTAAAAAGTTTATAGCAGAGAGATGAATCTGTTGACTTTGAACTTAGAATTTTTTTAGGGATCTGGATTAATGGTTATAACTGCACAATAAGTTCAAATGTATCAAGTTTTCCCATATGTTCATTTTTAAAAGAACTTTTTTAATTGGTCGAGTGCAACCAACATTTGAATTGGTGGGTCCATCCAGAGTGATAATAATGTGCTTCTAAGGAAGCTCATTGCAATGTAGCATACAAATGGACCAGAAACACTTTCTAGCTAACAATTGTTCAAGATTTGTCAACCTCCATCTTTCTCTGAACCAGTTACAGCATTTGTTGAATCTCCTCCTATTACTTCTAGAGATTTATGTACTCCCCAAGGAATCATCCAACTAAATAGTCCAATAGCTGCTTGTTTAGCAAGCTTTTGGATGGCATTGCCTTCATGGGTGTAAAATGTGTAATATAGTGACCGTCAGTTTCAAAATCACTACTAATGTGTTCTTCTTTAACAAATCCTTTGATAAAATTGTTTTTTTACAGGGTTGTGATTTAAAACTCTGATAAAATCTTTTCTATCATCAGCAAATATACCTTCAATAGGTTGTACTCGAATCTTCATTTCTTCAGATGTCTTTGCTTTAGTAATTACTGCTTTCCTAGCTCTAACAACTTTCTTAGGATCTACAGTCAAATAGAACATTACAGGTTTTAAAAAATTACCTAGAATAAGGTCTTGAAGAAGAGCTGAAACTACTGCTGATGTTGCAGCTGGTTAAATATCAATTCTCAAAGAAGTTTCAACATTATTACTAATAGACATAAAATTTAGTTTGCAGTTATCAGTTGAAGCAGGTTCATCATCCAGTTCTATTCTGTTCGAACTATCATAACTTATGAAAGACTCAACAAGATCTTTATTCTTTGATGTTTCTTTCCCTTCTTTTATTCTAAATTTTTTTTTCTAGACTTAACTTTCTTTTCAGCTTCCTCTTTTCTAAAGAAACCTGTCTAGCTATTTCCTTAGTATCTTTGCAAGTCATTTGATATTTTGATAGTGACCCAGGTTTTTCTCTTTCAGCTTTGCATATCTAAATATACAGGGCCAACAAAGCGGTTTTCAAATTGGGGGGGGAGGGCACATCATCAACAACTAAAAAAAGGTCCTCCACATCTAAAAACTTCAAAACCTTTATTAAAAAAAATTGTTATAGAAAAAGAGTGTGTAGGAAGGGGGGGGGTGCATGTGACCCCCTGATCATCTAGCGCCATCAGCCCAAATAGAATCTCAATTTTTTAACGCCAATCATGTTACCACTTTTTTATTATTTGATAGTACCATATTTGTTATTAATACCACATTTGTTAGTACCATATTTGTTAGTACTATATTTATTAGTAAAAAATACCATTTTTTTATTATTTGACATAACAAACATCAAAATTGAATTTAACTCACTGAGATATAACTTTTTTAAATTTGTGAATTTTTACTTCCTAAAAAACATTACATTGATGTGGTATAATACCATGCAAACCACTTGTATTTAAATCAACTTAAAATTAAATCGTGTATTTTGTTTAATTCATATTTTTATGGATAATATTTTTTATATCAATATTACTTTTATGTTTAAAAAATAAAAACATTCAAAATTTCTGTTATTTATTCAATATTTCTCCTGTTTTAGAATGTTATTTTACAAAAAGATTTCTTTGTAAGTAAAGTAAAGTAAAGAAGTTTTTTCAAAAACTGAAGAACTTCAAATCTTAATTTGTCAATTAATTTAAATTTCGTTTAAAATGTTAAAAAAAATGTTTTATAAACTTGTTGCTCTCATGTTAATGGCATGGGATGGTAAACATTTATAGGTTTTATTGTATCCAGACATCAATTGTTGAAACATTTTTGAAAAGCTTTTATTTTACATAAACATGAACATATAAGTGTTTGCAGTTTGCTCCATGTCATTACATAAAATTAAATTGTCAAACAAAAATAAAATGCTTGCTATGAGCCTTATTTAAAATATGTGATTATAATCTGGTAGTTTAAATATTGTAACTTGCATTTTTGTTACTTTTTTTACGTTTAATTTTTAAAAATTTTAGGTATAAAAATTATCAAAAATTTACTGAAAAAAAAAAACTTGATGTTATTTTAATACATAGAACGCTTTTCTTCACTATCGACCATATAATTTTCAATGAAAAAATCCATTTTTTGAACCACCCTACTGGATCCGGTATAGTGCAATACCCTTAACTAAGCAGCTGTTGTGGCTATCAAAAGTTATCTATTTTTTATCTAATTTTTTTAAACTTACTTTAACTTTTTTTTTTGAAAAAAAAATTGAATTTGATGTTTTTTACAAATTTCCAAATTTCCTTATAGAAATGCGTCGGCAAGGGGGTACCGCCGCCCAAATTATTTTCCTAGAATAGCACCTGATATTATATACATATATATAAATATATATCAGGGATGCACCAAACCCGGTTTTTGGCTGAACACTGAATCCGAAGTGAAAGACTTTTTAGTACAGGTGGCATCATTTACGAACCCAATAGAAACAGATTATCACCAGAAAGTGGCAAAAAATTAATGTTTATTCATTATAACTTGAGAACAACAAATGATAATTGATTTTCACTCATGTTTTTAATGTTATATTTTTTTCAATAATCGATTATTTTGTTAGGTGAAAGTTTAAAACTGTTGATTTGTCTAGTATTAATACTATTGCATGTTTAGTTATATAATAATAACATATTAGTATATGTTATATAGTTATATAGTAATAACTACATAATAAATTGGAGCATTTTTATGTTTTTGATCACCACAACAACATTTTTCCCTAAGTTTATTCCTTTCAAATAATTTTCTCAGTTCAACTAGTTGAGTAGCCAAATTATGAGGAACTTTCTTTGTAAAAGTTTTTTTTTTAACACAGCAGCAATAGGCGCCACTTAAAACGGACGTTTTTATCTGTTATTTTAAGATTATTTTCTATTATTATATTTTTGCAACTTTTACAAAATAAATTTGCTACTTGCATGAATTTTATAACTTAAGTTAAGTTTAATTATTATTATTATTGTATATAAAAGGATAAAATTAACTAAAATATTGCTCAATTGAAAAGATTTTTCATTTTACATTTATATTAGTACTATTTTTTCTAAATAATGTAAACTAGTTTTATGTAATACATTCAGTTTTAAGTAATACATGCGATAAAAATAAATTTATTCTAAATTCAAAAAACTTGATGGAAATCTAACGTACTCATGTGTTCTATTGAAAAACATATTCTTACCTACTATGCATTGTAGATAAGAATTGGGTTTTCAATAAAAAGCCATATCTGTTGGTACTGTAGCTATTTAGGCTGAGGTATGATGATTTAATGATGTTAACTGCCAAATAAGCATTTTTAGCAAATGCTCTGCCGAACAATTATCAAGGTTCAGCCGAACCGAACGTTCGGTGCATCCCTAATATATATATATATATATATATACATATATACATATATATATATATATATATATATATATATATATATACATATATATATATATATATATATATATATATATATATATATATATATATATATATATATATATATATATATATATATATAGTATATATATATATATATATATATATATATATATATATATATATATATATATATATATATATATATATATATATATATATATATATATATATATATATGTATATATATATATATATATATATATATATATATATATATATATATATATATATATATATATATATATATATATATATATATATATATATATATATATATATATATATATATCCTTATAGTGTAGTTGAAAGAGACTTTTATGGTAAAAAAAGTCTCTTTCGACTACAATTTTTTTACCTTGTCTCTTAAGCTGCATTTATTGTCGTCAAAATGTCAAAGTAATTAAATTAATGCAAAAGTACATTAAATTTTATTGTTTTTTAAAAAAACCGCAATAATAATGACTAAAAAGTTTTTTTTAATTAGTAGTGTTTTTGTTTTATTAAAAAACATTTTTAAAACATGTGTAAGTGTTGCTACATCAACTATCTTATAGCCTGCTGCTACAAGGGAGTGTTGCTACATCGACTATCTTATAATCTGACTCGCAACGGAGTGCTGCTACATCGACTGACAAATAGCCTGACTCGCAAGGGAGTGCTGCTACATTGACTGTTGTTTGGTTTGGGCAGGCAGTCTATCATTATAAAAAAAAATTTTTTTTTGAAGTTTTTTAACATTTTCTGGTCAGGCTTATTAACGTGCCCTTTAAAACAACAGTTTATAGGAAAAACTTTGTGACTACTATGCAAGACTATATATATATATATATAGTCTTGCATAGTAGACACTTTTAAATAACATATATATATATATATATATATATATATATATATATATATATATATATATATATATATATATATATATATATATATATATATATATGTTATTTAAAAGTGTGAAAATTTAATTTTTAACTTCTTTTAAAAGACTGTCTGGTTTATTGTTCTTGCTTTGGAAACAGCTCTGGATTTTGCAATTTTATTTTAAGTGTTGTATTTTTGCTTCTTCTATTCAGCATGGTTGTTAAAAACCACTCTAACTAAAATGAAAGCTCTCTCTGGAAAAGATTAGCTGGAATAATTGTTGCCTGAAAAGGACCAATTGAAATTAGTTCGGTCCAAACAAGAGTTTTATGAACAGTTCTTAATAAATAAACAAAAAAATAAATAAATTTTTATTTCGAATAGAGTGATTGTTAACAATGACCACAATGAATAAAAGAAGCAAAAAGCAGCAGCATAGCTACAAAAATGCCCGACCCCTTTACAGTAATTTTTTATCAGGGCCACTAATCTTTTTCCTCCAGACAAAAAAAATAAATACTAAAACAGTTAAAACGACAAAAATGCCTTTTTAAAATCTTGTAAAAAGTCTTTCAAGCTTTGAATTATTTTTTTCTAATTTTACAGAAAAAAAAGGAGAAAAATTAATTTATTAACATCCTATTTAAGAAATCACCTTTAAATAAAAAATTCTGACAATAAATATACCTTCATTTCAGTGTTAAAAAATTCACCGCCATGAAAAATAGGTAAAGTAGCTCCTCCCCATTGCTGCCCTTTCAAATTTGACCATTTCATAACATTACCGCCAAGACGATTGTACAAAGATATCATTAATACATAGCGACTACCTTTTAGAGAGATTTTAATAAAAAATAAGTATAAATTAAACATACTTCCTATTAATATACTTACACATGTTAAACTACTACATTCGCTCTACTAATAAATTATTAGTACAAAAAAAACGTGTTGAATAATTAATCAAAATACAAACTACAATGACAAAATAAAAAACAGTTAAATACTAACTGCCTTTCAAAATTATTCTAAATTATTTTAGTAAAACACCTACATGGCAATTTATCCTTAACTCCTCTTAAACATTTTATTCTAACTTGAATTGGTTGTGGAGCTTGATCCCAGTCTATTTTCCACCTTCTACCTTTGCTTCCACCATACTGACCATCTGCAAATGTGAGGTCGCCATACATTGTCTACATATTTTAAACAAGTTGCATTCAAAATTTTATAGAAAAGTCACATTATTAAGTTACATAAAAAAATTTAATCCATAAATTCTTAAATCACACAAAAATCTGAGGTTGTGATCATGTACACATAAAAGTTAAAGTTACATTATTCTGTTACGAGCTTGAATTAACTTATACAATTAAGTAAATTAAAAATTACATAAATTACATACTTTCACTTCAGCTTTTCTAACTTTTAATGCTTTTCTGAGCTGACTTTCTGAACGCCTAAAAGCACGATGTATTTCATCTTTATAACTGCGGTCTTTTTGCATCAGATGTTCCTAACATTATTTGCAAAATATTTTATTATCGCCAAAAAAAATCAAGGCAACCTTATTAATTTTTTATTATTTATTGCTCATATTTTAATTTTACCTCTCTCATTCGTATTTCTTTTTGCTTTTCTTTATATTTACTCATAACATATTTTTTGGCACGCTCCATAGCTTTTGATATTTCTTCTTGTCGTTGTCTTTGAACCCTCACTTGTAACTGCTGGAATGTAATATGCTCTTCTCTCAGCCTTGTTTCTTCCTCCTTTAAAAATCATGAAATTTAAAAAAAAAAAGCAATTAAAAACATACAGAGTAACCTAGAAAGCAAATAGAAATCAAATTAAAATTATTTAAAATAAAATGTAAAAAAAAAAAAATAATAAAAAATACCTGAATTTCTTTAAAAGATATATTCCCAATCATTAAAATCTCCTGCTCAACACGTTGTTCAAACTCATCAAGGTAAACCTTGATCTCCTCTTCTGCTAAACTTTTTTTTAACTCAGTAATATCCTTTAGGTTTTGTTTTTGTAGATCTGATTGAAAAAGTGGCTGTGTTTTAATATTTAATTGGCTCTCTTTTGCATCCATAGATACTAACACATCATAAAGGTCTGTTATGCCATTATTGATTGTTGGATCTTAAAAAAATAGACTTTGAAAGTAATTATTTGAAATTTATGCCTGAAAATTAATTTATTTGTAACTTTAAAATATTTTATTATCAATAAAATTTGTAAAATGTACTATATTTTTCATCATCAGATTCGGGTTCTTCAGGAATATCTAATTCATCATCTCCTTCTTCATTATTGTTTATGATGTCCTTATACATTGCCCATGGAAGATCTTTTTCATCAGATAATGGAGCCAAACTGATTTTACGCTCTAGTAAGTAAACACAATTTTATAGTATTGTTAATGGGATGGGGGAGGGAAGGGGGAGGAACACAAATATATCAAATATATCAAAATACTACTGTTATGTAAAATAATGCAAATTCTTTTATTCCTAATATTTAAATATTTTTATCATATTTTATTTTGATCAAGATTATTTTGGTTATAGTTTCAATCAAATGTCAACAAGATTTCAGAATTTTAAATTAGCTAAAAAAGAAATTAAGATCAACTAAACTATAAACAAAATTTGTTAAATCAATAAGTATTCTAAAGCTTCAATGCAAACTTTCAAGCTGTTAGAAAGATTGTTTAACACACTCACACACACAATTACATATAATATTTAGATATTAAAGCAGCTGAAATATTAAAATAACTTAAAATCAAACTGAAATAAATGAAATTCATAAAATCAAACTAAAATAAATGAAATTTTTTAAATAAACTTTTAAAATATTATTATCTAAAAAATTACTGAATTTATTTTGGGCTATTTATTAATGAATCCATTTTATCAAATTACCTTTTAAAAGCATTTATACTAACGAAAATCAAAGTATATTATTCTGAACATCAACTTTTCATATTAAGTTGAGCTTTAAAAAATCAACATAAACAAATGATCCATTAAATGTCTAAATATAATTTTTATAAACATAAAAAAAATATGACACTCACCAGAAATTATATCATCATTTATATCTTGTTCATCTTCTTGCAATGGCTGCTTCTGAATTAAAAAAAAAAAGAAAAAAAGTAACTATCCAAGCAAACAAAAAGTTTGCTATAAACTATCTATCTTCAACAAAAAACAAGTTTTATTAAAATGGATTCAAAATATTAAAAAGTCTGGATAAAAACTTACTTCCAATTGATCATCATCAAAAATGATCTGTTTTGAAAAATCATTTTCACGCTTGCTCTCATAAGGTTGCGCTTAATATAAATATTATTAGAAAATCGCTAAATTATAAAATAATTTACTTGCCTGGATATTTTTTTAAAAACAGAAGAAAAAAAATACCATTGAAATTTAGTGGTGAACTTCGATTCTCCTAATAAAGAAAATATAAAACAAGATAAATTATAGTAACTCTAGCTAATCATTTTGTCAACTAATAACTTTGTTTAACAACTATTTTTTATTGGATACTATTTAATAATTCCATCAAAAATAAAAAATAATATTTAGTTTTGCTTTTGCTTAATATATATATTAATATATATATATATATATATACAAATAGTATTGCGTACTAAGGTAAGCAATCTGACGTCATACTGAAATAGGCTGCTGCTGGGGGCTTCAGTACATACATCGACTGACAAATAACCTGACTCGCAGTGGAGTGCTGCTACATCGACTGAGGGTTTGGGATGGGGAAGCAATCGTTTCATTCATCATTCTTCGTTTTTTCTTCTTTTCGAAAAAAACAGTATAGCTTAAGGTAAGCAGAAAAAGTTGAGCAAATGCTTATCAAAACATGCTTTAGTAAGTGTATTATATATATATATATATATATATATATATATATATATATATATATATATATATATATATATATATATATATATATATATATATATATATATATATAGATATATTTTTTTTTATATTAAGCAAAAATTAAAAAAAATTAATATATATATATATATATATATATATATATATATATATATATATATATATATATATATATATATATATATATATATATATATATATATATATATATATATATATATATATATATATATATAATTGTCAAAATCTGGTTACTTCTAAAAAAACACTAATCTTTCTCAATGAAAAAATAGCCAGAAGATGTGGTATTTCATAAGTTTCTGAATAAAATGTACAGAAAAAAAACTAATATGGAGAACTTGACATCAAACAGATTTGGTAAATGTTGAATAAAAGGATTCCTAACACTGCATGGTAAAAAAATACTAAGTAAGAATGTCCTAGAATATAAAGAAGTCACCAATAATGCATTAACAGAAAAGTTGAAGCAAACTGGTGCCAAATCCACAACCAACGGACAGACATGAGGAAATTAATTGCACTTGCATTATATTTAGAAGGTAGCAATTTAGTGTACTTTGAAACCCATCCTGCTCACATTAAGAGTGATTTTCTCTAGTTTCAAGAACAATTACAACAATATTATGACAATGCAAATATCGCATAGAGCCAAAAGATGGAATTACTTGGCTTAACGCAAGATACTGACCTTACCTCCATTATTAACACCCTAGATAAACTGAGTCAGTAGCTTGGTATAGATGGCAAAACTAAATTAAATTTGTTTATCAAAGATTTGAAAATTAACCTATGCAATGCATTAAAACTTAAGCAACAAAACTTAAGTTGCAAGACATAATTGTGTCAGAAACAACCATCTCTCGATTGGAAGCTAATCTAGATGCACTTTTTAATCCCCCAAAACAAACAGTTGTGGCTTCTACCTACCGCAACCACAACGTATTGGCAAAATACAATCAGAAATAGACTCATTAAGGTGGAACTTGCTTCGTCTTACCCAGCACGAAAGATTTCGTTCAACTGGATGCAACTTATGTACCAGGGATGGGCAAGTAATATGGTAATTGATGCCTAAATATAGGACACACCTAAAGGTCGTGCTCCGACCAAACCTTCCCATTATCAGGAAAAAATCATTATCAACATATATCGCTGCAACTTAACCGCTCGAACTATGATACACAAAACTCGACTTCATTTTGCAATATTTCTTCCCCAAATAGACATTTTTAAAACAATGAACTAAGAAACAGTCCGCATTGGGATAGCTGAATTCCCCAGCAACACACCAACACACTCAAATCAGATCCGGGAGAGGACCCTGGTTCCAAAATCTGGGGTAAAGTCTACAAATTTAAAGTGCTTATTCTTATGGACACAGGTGCTAGATGCAGTATATTAGACAAAACCATCTTTGAAAATATTAGAAATCAAGTTGCCATACCACTTCCCTACTATGGTACTCTGAGAACAGCTAATGGAGTGCTACTCCATGTCCTTGGAAAAACCTTATGCCCCATTGAAATTGGAGGTAATATAATTGAGCATGAAACGCTAATTGTTAAAGACTTAACTCATCCAGTAATTTTAGGATATGACTTCATGAGCCGATTTAACGTCAGATTAGACTGTGGGAATCATCAGGTTACATTTGAAGGTAAATTTGATATAAATATGATCATTAAACCTATCGACGATAAATTTACCACCAAAATAATTATAAAGAGCTTACCGTCTTGGAGATGAATCTCAAAGGAGGTGCTACCGAATGATGTCATTGAACCAAGTAGTCAGTCCCTGGTCCAGTCCGGAAGTTATGGTACTGAAGAAAGACAGAAATTTCAGAGTATGTATTAATTATCGTATGCTAAATAACGTTACAATAAAGGATACCTATCCACTTTCCCGAATAGATGAAAGGCTTGACATGTTACATAGGGCGAAATATTTTTCTTCATTGGATCTTTTAAGCAGATATTATCAGGTGCAGCTTGACAACAAATCTAAAGAGAAAACTGCGTTTATATGGCACAAAGGATTATATCAGTTTAAAGTCCTTCCCTTTGGTCTGTCTAATGCACCTTCAACCTTTCAACAAATGATGAAATACATATTTCATGACCATCAATACAAAAACTGCATGCCCTATTTAGATGATATCTTGATATACTTAAAAACGTATAAAGAGCACCTCAAACATTTACAGATGATAATTGATGCTATACTACAAGCTAGGTTAAAACTAAACATACTGAAATGTACCTTCTCCACAAGTGAAGTAAAATTTTTAGGACATTATATTAATGCAGATAGTATAAAACCGGACACAGAAAATATCAAAGCAGCAAAAGATTATCTGGTACCCAAAAATATAAAAGATATTAGAGCATTCATTAATTTGAGTAGTTACTATAGAAGATTTATTTAAGGATTTTCGAACATTGCTTTACCGTTAAATAATCTATTAAAAAAGGATGCTGGTTTCGAATGGCACATTGAGCAGCAAAATAGCTTTGAGCTACTCAAACAATCCCTAACAACATCAACCATTTTGGTTTTTCCTGACTTTAACAAACCATTCGTTATTTTTCAGATGCAAGTGGCAACACGTTAGGGTATGTCTTATCACAATATCACGAAGACCTTGAAAAGGTTATCCTCTATGGTGGATGGAACTTCACAAGCACTGTGCAAAGTAAATATTCCACAACCAAACACAAGGCTTTAGCTGTAGTTGCCGCAATACAGAAATGTAGACCTTATGTTTATGGACAAAAATTTAAAATAGTAACCGATCATAATTCATTAAAATGTTATAATTTTGAAATAGAGTATAGGTCAGAAAAAATGCAAAGTAACGCTGAGGGACTTTCCAGATGGAGATACAACACAGTCACAACAATGACAGTACCAGGAATACCAACTGATCAAGTTGTAAAAGAACAACATAACGATCCCTATAACGCAAACCTAGTATTATATCTAGCCAAGAAAGAATTAACCAAAGACTTAAAAGAAGTAAAGAAAGTCTTAGCATTAGAAGGTAACTACCACTTAGATGAAAATGATTTATTATTCCATCATGAATCAAAAGCCTCAAGAAATCTCACCCACTTGGTTGTACAGCAGTTTTTAAGAACTGAATTAATAACCTGGGCCCACTATGAACCATGTAGAGGTCACTTCAGAGCGACAAAAACCTATGAAAAGATTGAACTAATTACTATTGGGTTGGTATGTGCAACAAGATAAAAACCTGGGTAAAATTACGTACCACTTGTGCTCAACGAACACTGAATCCAGCTGCTAGTAAAGCACCCCTACTACCAATTTCTGTCAAAGGACCATGGTATGTTATTGCATCCGATTGTTTGGGACCTTTTCCTCCTTCTTCAAGAGGAAACTGCTATATAGTTGTTTTTGGTTACTTATTCACAAAGTACGATTAAGCTTTTGCAGTTCCCACCATTGCGGTAACATCAATAACAGAGCTATTTGTAGACAACATTGTGTTTAAAAATGGAGCATCAAGGCAATTTCTAACCAATAAAGGTAGTAATTTTACGAACAAATTAGTAAAAGAAGTGTGTGAAATAATAAATGTGAAAAAGTTGTTTACAACCGCTTATCTCTCCTAAACTGAGGGTTTTGTGGAACGTATTAATGGGATTTTGGCTCAGATTTTGTCTTTCTATATATGTTGCCTCTAACCAACAAGATTGGGATGTTTATATTCCTGCCGCTGTATATGCATATAATACTAGTAAATCTGCTAGCACTGGAGAAACACCCTTTAGGTTGATGTATGGCAGAGACGCTCTACTACTCCATGATACTACCCTACTACCGAGAAAGTACCCAACAGACAACACTGACTTACTCATTCAAAGAGTCGTGTCTGATTTAAGATTATCACGTAATTTTGTGAAGCAAAATATTCAAAAAGCGCAAACAAAAATGAAGCTCCGCTACGACTAAACAGCTAAATCATATCCGTTTCAAAAAGGACATTAACTTTGGGCATATACACCAATCATGAAGAAAGGTTTAACAAAAAAAACTTATAAGTTTTTTGGCACAGTCTGTTTCGTTTAATTTAAAAAACATCCCCGTAACATTCAAGTTCTGAAATATGAATAATAAATAACTGCCTACACTAATTCACATGTCTCGTTTCAAACAATGATTTAATTATGATGAAAAACCAACAACAGAGATAGCTCTAAACTTTGAAGTTCTCACTGAAGCCACAGAAACAAGTAACGAATTTAGTTTTGAGAAAACTACCCCGAAAGAAAAAAAAAAGTAACATTTGCAACCAATAAAAAAGAAACAGATAAAATACAACATAGCTTGCCGGAAAATAAAATTGATGATGCAGATATATTTAAAATGGAGGAAATAGTAGGTAAAAGGAAAGGTAAAACTCAATACCTATTTAAATGTCAGGATTTTCTTCTGACTCAAAATATGTAAGAACCAGAAAAAAACGTCTTTGATAAACAAGTAGTGCAAAAATATTTAGATAAGACAAAAAAAAGTTTGCATGTTTCTGCAATAAAAATGGTATTTCCGATTAGACAACAAGATAAAGAGCAGGCCAGAAATAGTCTTTTACCAATTTTAGATATAAACAGATTATGGAATATAATGATTCCCATTATTTTCTCATGCTTACTTGTCTTACCTAAATTTACCAAGGTTACTTATCGGTGAAGTCTATGATTGTAAAATAGTGAAGCCTATCAGAATTCATCAGCTACTTTCAATATTATCTTGTTCACATAATATACACTTTTTAAATGACTCTTTAAAGACATTTGAGGCAGATGTTTACGCCTACCAACCACAAACAACAACAATAATCTTATATCATTGCTATGTCAAGAAGGTCACCCTCACATGCCAATTAAACTTCCTTAACTAAAAGTCAAAAGAGATTGATTCAAAAAAAGTAGCTGTAACACAAAGAGAATGTCTCTCAGCCATGACCACCATAATTTCTCCATATGAAGCACTGCAAGTAGCTGCCCCTAACACATGGAGAACGATAATTTCAGACAAATTTCATTGCTCATGGTTCCGCACAAAAATAACAGATTATATGCACTTTAATATGAGAATATATGAAGGACAACTTACCGGGCGATCTGTAATGATAGAATAATGTCAAAAGAGTCTATGTTATTATTTAATGTGTGGATGCGTGCCTACTGACTAGCCATAATTAGTAATTGTCTGGGAGTCCATTAAATACAACAAAGAAGTCATGAAAAGGATAGGTACAAACCTATCAAGCAGATTGGAGAATTTATCCTAATCAGGAGCCTAAAAGTCGGCGGTGCAATACAGATATCAGAACAAAAAGGCAATGTGCTTACTCTGGATAACAGCATGATCCTGAAAGATCCCACGTTACCAGAGGATATATTTCAGCAATACAAATCTGCTGCAGCCAATTATTCGCAGAAATTAGGAAATGATCCAGCTGCTTTTATTTTCAAAGCGCACATTACTGTCACCCTTATGACTCAGAAAATGGGTATGATAAGTGCCTAGGAGCAAATGTGCTTTATACAGACTGAAATTTCCCGTATTCATCGGTGGATGATTACTCAATTTCCTACAACATCAGCAGAACGGATACACCAATCTTAGGGTGTGACTGTTGAGTCAGCCGGGGATGCTCTGTTATTGTCAAAGTGGGGAAATTATACTAGATATGCCATCAATCATGCCCGGAAGAAAGACAATTTTTGTTTTGAGTACTTCCCTATAACTTGACCAAATTCAAATATCACTTATTTTTTGGAAAGTTAGTGATAGGAAGTTAATAAGGACCAGTCCTCGAATCCCTTGTAACCTCATGCCTAAACACACCTACCTACAAGATCCAAAACTAAACACCATGTACAAAGTAACAGCCTTTGGATAAGTTAAATTGTTGGGAGGCAGTTAGATAGCGTTCTACCCTCAAATAACAAACCAATTCTCCACATTCGAGGCTATAGTAAAGACATTTTAGTCGATAAACCACAACGTATTTCATTGTATACTGTCCTACAACTGATATCAGGTTCGCATAAAACGTTACAAACACTTAAAACCATTAGTGATAAAATGGAGAGATATATTGACAGGCATTGGTATGGACTTCAGCAGTACCCTAAAAGCCACAGCAGGTGGAGGAAGTTAAATAACAAAAGCGATTTGAGGAACCAATAAAGACTCATTAAGGGGTGTCTCGAACCTAGATGAAAAGTTCAATCAATTGGTGTTGCTTCATCTTCAGTATTAATGGCCGCAGGAGGAGCTGTAAAAGATGTTGGAGAAGGCGCAGGCTCCTTTTTCCATAAACTTCTGGGTGGTATTAGTGGATCCATTTTGTGGGCAGCAGTACTTCTCATAGTAATATATTTAATCTTGAATAAACCGGATTTAAATTATGTCTTGCCTTGTCTAAAACAGTTTCAAAAACACTTGGAAAAGGAGGCTATGGTACAGCCATGACAAGATCAGTCCACGCCAATATCCCCTAAAGGAAAAAGACATTTTGCGCGTGTTTGCAAGTTTCCAGCTTGTAAGGCTGTCGATAGAGACTAGAAGATTACTTGTTAATGGTAGTGGCGGGAACTAGGGCTTCAATAACTCCTGAATGGAGATTTGGAACGCCTCCAACCAACATGAGTTTTGTACAAAGTTAGTCGCATCTTACAAAATGATGTGCAGTTTTTATTCGAGATTTTGCTGTTTACTGTTATGCTGATTATTCAAGATATTGTTGTTTGCAGATATTGATTCTGCTGATTATTTGAGATATTATTGTATTACAGAGATTTTACTGATTCTGCTGTTTATTGAAGATATTGTTGTTTGCAGAGATTTATTGATTATGCTGTTTATTCGAGATTTTGTTGTTTTACGAAGATTCTACAAGTTCTGATGATGCTTTTAAGTCCGAATATTTATATTTGGGAAATGACATGAAATTTTATATTTAATGAAAGTTACTGTGTAACAATAGTATACAAAATACTTATGAAGATATCATGTAGCATAACTTGTGTAAAATGCATTTTGTTTTTTTGCTGACACTTAAATTAACAAAATGATGATTTGTTTTGATAGTGATTGTATTAACTAAAATGGGTTCTATCCCAAAAAAAAAAAAAAAGTGTGAAGAGAAAGTATATTGTAAACTTAAAGTATAAAAAAGTAAGAAAGTATATTAATCTATGGTGGCTGCTATTACTCCTAACTAGCGATGTGCTAGGTACCCAGTTTGGACCCAGGGACCCAGTAATTTGGCTGTTTTTAGGATTTAGTTTAAACATCAACTAATAAACTTCTTGATATAAGGCTAAAAGTGTTATGGAGTCATTAACCACAAAGCCTAATATATGTATTGGGCTTAGCCTATGAAATTAATATAGAAGTGTCTTACTTAAAATATTTTTATCATTCCAAATATTTGCAAACATCAAGTTTACACTTTAGTTTGTGTAATTTGAACTTGTGATCTAGAGTGTAAATATAGTTTTTTATTAAAAAGAAACTTGTTATATTTAGGCAAACTTAATTAGCAAAAAATAATCAGCATTATTTTGTGAAAACAATTCAGCACTTGAGATTTCGCAGAATTGAGAATCCAAGTATGGGTAATCGGACTTGGACTATATTTTCTTTTGGGTATCCAGAATCAGACTCAGCATAAACTGATTCCAACACATCTCTACTCCTGAAGCTCCCATTTTTTTATTAATACGCAACAAAAATTAAAATTTTATGCAGCATAGATTTTATCCAATCTAATCCACCCCATCTCTAGGAAAAAAAATAACTAATGATAGAAAAACTTGTCTACTTCTATTTTACTGTCAGTTCAGATTTTATTATTGTTCTGCATCTACTTGAACAGGAAGTCCACTGCTAAGTTTTTAAAGAAGAGCAGCACACTCTTTAATATATCAAAGATTAAATAGATAGTATTTCAAGAAAATCAAGAGAGAGAAATATATATATTACAGAAGAGATAGACCAATCATTCCAAAAGCCAGTGGAGAATAGGTATGTTTGGTTTAGGAAGATATTAGGGCGAAATCACAATAGATGCAATAAAACCCAATTAACTGGAGAGTTTTATCTATTGATCAAGACCTGAATCTGAAGTAAGACTATATTTTTCAGATAATGAAATACCTGATAGATTCTAATAAGTTGTTTTAATAAGTATATAAACATAAGTGCTGAAATCTGGTTGGTGGTACTGCTTTGGTTTTTTGCTCAATACAGAGTATTCATATGTCCACAAACTTTACTAGTGGCTGCAATCTATTATAAAGTTGGTGTAAATCAAGGAAATATTATTCTTTTAAAAAGTACAGTCTTTAGAAAAAAGTTCAGGAAGATATTATGAGACACGCTCAGGCAAAGTATTTTAAATTCTCTGAAGGAAACAAAGCTTTATTTACACTTTGATGGAATGGGTGTAACATTGAATAAAATGTAAACATAACTGTACCTTTAGAATGAAAAAGTCAGCGTTACACTACATGATATGGATGACATGGTAATTTTTGCTGCTGGGTGTTTTTCAGTTAGCAAGCTCCAATGATAATGACCTAAAGCTATTTTGAATCTTATAGAATACTTCAACATTGTAGATAAAATATTTTCTATTTGTTGCAACACAACCGTGTCCTATACCAAAATACACTCTGGATCATGTTAAAAATTGTAGATGTAAATTTGTAGATAAAGAAAAATTTGTAGAATTTAGAATTATTAGAAATTAGAAAAATTTGTAGAATTAAAGATGTAAATTGTAAATAAAGAGCATTGGAGGAAGGAAAAAGTGCTGAAGTTGTAAGATTTATTCAAAAATTTTGTTAAAAATTTGACTTCCATAAATGATTGTGAAGAGAGAGCCCTACCACTTATTCAGGACATTATAGGTGTCTACAAATATGCAACAAAACATAATGCTCAGGGACAACATAAAAAACTTAAAAAAGCTTTTTCCATGATTCAGTGAAAAATTTTATAACTTATTATTGCTAAAACATAAATTTTTTGACAAAGATATCTTTATCAGATATCTTATCAAGGAAACTTGTAAAATTTTAATTTTTAACAAAAAATGAAATTGTGCAAATTGGTGAAAGTAAAGTCAGAAAATGTTTTTTTAGAAATTTTAAATCAGGACAAAATATTAAGATGGGAATAAAAACTATGTGCATATTCAAATTAAAAAAAAAGTGAAATTTTAGGACACCCTAATATATATATTTAGACATATATCAGCCCTCGAAATTAGGGTCAGCATTTGGCAATTGAGGTCAGCAAATAATCACCTCATTTCTGTTTTATGGTAACCCTTACCTGTAAAAGTTTTTTTGCCAACCTGATGCTGACCTTTAACAATTTGAGACCTCATTCTTCATAATTCTTAGAGTTGATATATATATATATATATATGTTTATATATATATATATATATATATATATATATATATATATATATAAACATATATATATATATATATATATATATATATATATATATATATATATATATATATATATATATATATATAAACATATATATATATATATATATATATATATATATATATTTTAAATATATTTATATTTATATATATTTATATATATATATATTTATATATATATATATATTTATATATATATACATATTTATATATATATACATATATATATATATATATATATATATATATATATATATATATATATATATATATATATATATATATATATATATATATATACATATATATATATATATATGTATATATATATATATATATATATGTATATATATATATATATATTTATTTATATAAATATATATATATATATATATATATATATATATATATATATACATATATATATATATATGTATATATATATATATATATGTATATATATATATATATATTTATTTATATAAATATATATATATATATATATATATATATATATATATATATATATATATATATATATATATATATATATATATATATATATATATATATATATATATATATATATTTATATATATATATATATACATTTATACTAAAACAAAAAAATTACTTTTTGCTTCTTTTTCTCCCTCATAATTGCTAAACGTGTTGTTAAATCTTGAGCACCAGATGACTTCATAGAGCAAAAATAAAAAAAATGTTTAGCATAAAATTTAAAATAACTGATTAAGATTAAAAAAGAAAATTAACTAAACTTACTTTAGGTGATTCAAGAGCTGAATAAATAAAAATATAAATTGAATTAAATAAAAAAGTAACAGTTATTCAATTCATTTAAATTTTCATATAATACTTATATTATTCTAAATCAAAAATAACTGTCAAATAAAATTTTTTTTTCTGTTTTTAAACAAATATGAGTATACTAAAAACCTGCTGTCTAACCCAAATATATAAAATAAATATTTTATTATTAAAATACTATTTAAAACATAGGAAATTTCTTTGAGGAATCAATACAATGAAATGGATCATCTCGCATGTTTTAATAAAAAAATATTGAATCGAATAGATTTGTTGAACAATAAAATAAAGTTTTTATCAATTATATCAATCTTAAACATAAGACTGCTACAGAAATATAATATAAGAAAGTCATATCATCAATCTATAAAATATAAATTCATTTGATACTTTTTTAGATTATTAATTTATACTTTTCACATAACATATATTTTATAGATTCACATTCATTTTATAGATTATTTTGATTCATATATTTTAACAGTAAGATTAAACTTAGTAAGTAAAGTTCATAGTAATAAAGTTTGTTACCAGTTTCTTCATTATGGAATAACTCTGTTTGATTTTCCTATAAAATAAAAAAAATACTGTATTTACTGAACTTTTATATTTATTAAAGTAATTGTAAGACATTAAAATTTGCATTTAAAAACTTAAAAACAACATTTTTTAAATTTGATTAGAAAAGGATTATCATTATTTCAAAAAGTAAAACACCTCTTCATTTATAGTAACTCGTTTTTTTGGTATCTTCTCTTTTGAATCTATTTGATCGTTTTCTATTATGTGCTGATGAGTGACTCTTTCTTTTAAAGCTTTTTTCATTGCAATTCGTGTTTGAATGTCAGTATTTACTTTAGGAGATTTATCTGATTCATTAACAGTTTCTGGAGTATCAATATCCTTGATATTTAAAGGAGGTATTGTGATTATATCAAAATTTGAGTCTTTAACTTCAGGTTGAGAATTGCCATGCTGAGTTGGAATTTCTACATTTGTTTTTGCTGATTCCTCTTCAATGTCAATCTTTAAATTATCCTATTTAAAATAAGCATTCAGAACTTTCAAAAACCATTCTAATGAAGAAAAAACAGAAAACAAAAATTTACTTTATGACCCAGATAAAGGATTAATGTTTACTGTTTTCTTCATGATTCTATCTTTGAGAGCTTTTTTCTTAGCCAATCTCTCCTCTAAAGATCTTGGGCTCTCGTTTGCAATTAAATCTTCAGGAAGTTTTTCTCTGATATCCAATATTTCTGGAGTAGGTGAGTGAAAATCAGGATTTTCCTAATGAAAAATTGAATAAAAAAACCTGATAAATATTTTTAATTTATATAACTTCATTCATTTCTTTTAAAGTACTCTATTTAATGTACTATTTAAATATATATGCATATTTAATATTTATATTACTCTATTTAATTTTTAATCAAATTATTCATAATTTTATAACTTTTAAAATATATTTATTTATCTAACATTTGGTGCATTTTTGTATGTTTAAAAAAAAATATTAATTACCTTCATATTTGTTAAAATTAAAAAAGATCATTCAAAAAAATTTAATAAAATTTAGTAGTTTGAGAAGAACTTTTTTTGAAGAGTTAATTATCTAACATTTTGTTAGCACAGATATTTTATTTTTTAAAAACATCTTCACTCTCTGAAAACCCAAGTGGACCACACTAGTTGAGATTTTTTTCTTTTTACTTAATTGTTGTTTTACACCTCTCTCAACCCTATAACTTAAAAATACAAACCTTGAAAAGCAAGATCTGTGTATTTAAATAAGTTGAGATTAATAGGTTTTTCTTTTACATATTAATATGAAAATGGTTACAATATGTTTAAAAAAATTGAGCAATAATAATGGTACAATTAATTACAGTTTTTCTTTTCAACTTTTCTTTAAGTTCCTTTTTTTTTGCAAGTCTCTCTTCAATATCTTCATTGTTGTTTTTTACAACCTGGTTTTCAGTAGGTAAATCTCTGTTGTAAAAATCCTCCTTGAGATCAACAATTGATTTATCATTTTCTGGTATATCAATGGTGACCTAAACAAAATTAAAAATAGATTATTATCAAAACTAAATATTCAGAAGTAAAACTTTTTTTATTAAAGTAATAAATTTCAAGTAAAAACAAGTGTTTTTGCTTTTGTTTATAATTCACCTCTACAATGCTTCAGAGGTGGACCACTAAAATTGATTTTTTAATTTTAATATATATATATATATATATATATATATATATATATATATATATATATATATATATATATATATATATATATATATATATATATATATACATATATATATATATATATATATATATATATATATATATATATATTTATTTATTTATACTTATATATATATATATATATATATATACATATATATATATATATATATATATATATATATATATATATATATATATATATATATATATATATATATATATATATATATATTTTAAAAAAGCTAAAAACGCTAAAAGAAAATTATTAAACTCAGAAGAATTTTTTTGAAATTAAACAAAAAATCTAAAACACAAACAAACTTTCTTGACATCTTAATTAGCTTCAGCAAATGAAATTAACACTGACTAATAGTTTTCCAGAAAATGCTTTAAAAAGTTATTTCACACTAGAAATATCTTTTTTAAAAGAATTATTCTAAACAAATGCGTTTCTCCTTTCTTAAAATAAAAAGAAGTTTTTTGGTTGGTTCCTATTATTTTCATCAATGATGAAGAGACTTTCTTTTAAGTAATATCAGGTTATTTTTATCTTAAAAACCTGGAAAAATGTTTTCTAAAAAAATCCAAAAAATATTTTTAAGAAGTATCTAGAAAAAATCTGGAAATAAAAATGCATTTTGTGTAACTAAGAATATTTCATGTATTTGAAAAAAAAATTCATCATTTTTACACAAATACAAATAATATAAATAATATAAACAAATAATATAAATAATATAAACATAATTTATAAAATTTTGAAGCGTGGCTGATTAGGTTGCAAGTTCAAAGCCTTTATAGAAAACTTTTTTACATTTTAATTTTATTTTTTAATTTAATTTTGAAATGATAAACAATAATTATAAAATTAAACAATAATAAATATACAACTTTTAACTACTATTGTTGTTTATTTATTTTTTTTAATTTGGATTTTTTTTTTTAATTGGATGTATGTAAAGTCCATTGTGACGCAGTCACAATGGACTTTACATACATCCAATTACTTATACATGCAGTGGAGTGTACATACATCAACATATGTTAGTATACACTTAAAATAATTTTATACACTTTATAAACTTCTTTAATTAGTTTAGGTTTTGGTACGCATTTTCTTAAATAAAAGAAAAGAATTCAAATATGCATTTAAACATTACATATTAAATACTTTATTTTTATATTTAAAAATTATTCAATTAAATTATATTAGATTTTTAGGTGAAATATCATAATAATTAATAATAAATATATGTGCACAAATAAAAAAAATGCCTGACCTAACTAAATATTGCAAAGATGTGTGTGCAACTATTAATCTAAACTTTATAACATGAACTATATTAAACAAGGTAGCTGAACAAGGGAACAGATTAAGCACAGTACTTCCAAAGGAATAGGGCAGATTTATACTTTAAATCCATCAATTATGACGTGTCTGCCTCATTCAAATAAATTGTTGTCTAATTTTATTTTTAAAAAATTTGAAATCAATATTTGTAATTTCTGCATACAAAGCAAATATTTCCAAAACAAATTTTATGGTGTTTTACAAAATTTAATCATAATTAATTTAGCAATCATTTATTTAAAGTACTAAAAATCTGAATTAAAGCCAAAAATTAGTACTAAAATACCAAACCAACTGCGCCAAAAAACCAAACCAACAATACCAAAAAATTAGAACTAAAGCACCAACCAAAAATGACAGGGCATCAAGCCCAAATTCTCCTCAGCTCAGTACCTAATTAGAAATCTAAAAAAACTAAGCTTTTATAGCGAAATACTAGTAACAATATACTGAAACATAAGATTTAGTCAACTGATCCATAGTGCATCATTACAAGCAGTTTCAAAATAGTGAACCGTTACTGTGTGCAAGGAGTATCAAAATAAAGCACAAAATACAGTAAATACATCTAAAAACATTAAAATCTATAGGTATTAATCCAGAAATCGCCAAAACAAAATATAATATTGAAAACACCAATACATACATCAACAATATATGTATAAAAATTCTAAAACGAATTCTAAGAAACCCAAATCAAGATTTCTAGGGTTCAAGATAGACACTGCTAATACAAGTTACAAAAATAGTTTTACGCAACAAACATTGCGTCTAATGAGAAATGGGAAGCATAACTTATACACAAGTTAATCAATGTAAAATATGTGTGTATATATACATGTATGTATGTATGTAAAAACTGTGTAATTTCTAAATTTTTAGACGATTAAATTTAAATAAAGATGTATAAACTTAATACAAAAATAACTCTAGTAAGTTTCATAACATAATAGAATAAAATACATACTTGAGATATTGGATAATCTGTTTTTGTTGGTAACTGAACAACTACAACTTCTTTTAAATCAGAATCTGATCTTACAAGAAATGCTACAATAACAAATAAATCCTCTCAAATTTGCACATTATTTATAAATAAACTATTTGTTATTAGTTATTTTCATTAAGATTAAGTAAAATTTCTAACTATTTTAACATAAAACTATTAAGATTTACCTGCTTTTTCAACATCAATATCATCTTTATTTCTATCATTATCCTCTTTAACTTTCTTAATAAAATAATATACAATTAAAATACATTTATTTATATTAATTTATTTTTGTTTTATTTAATTTATTAATAAAAAAACCTTTCTTTCGGCTTTTTTCTTCTCCTTTTTTTCTTGTCTTCTTTTTTCTTTTTCTATCAGTTCTTCAGGTGTTAAAGCTTCATCCTTAAATTTCAGTAATTTTTAATTAATACCTATTAATAGTTAAGAAAAAATAAAAATAATTTTTGCTTATAATTTATTACAATAAATTTGGCTAGTTATTAATTAATTTTAGAACATCGCTACATATATTAGATACTGCATGCATTATCTCAGAAAAGATTACCTAATTATTTATAAATATTATTTTCAATAAGCATAAAACTTAATTTGATTAAAAGATTAACTTTTTTTAATGCCAATAATTTAAAGACTTTGTATCCTCTGATAGAAATCTTTTACATCACCAGACAAAACAAACTACTAATAAAGAGACAATTGAATTGACATGTGAATGGATAATTCAATAAATCAAATCATTTTTGTATTTGTAAAACATTTTAAAAAATTGTTGTTTTTTGTTCTATAAATTTTATATTTAACAGGCCAAAAAATTTAGTAATCATAAATTTTTGAACATATCCATATAACAAAAGTAGTCTGTATAAAAATGTCCATATAAAAAAGTCCTTATAACCAGCTTGTCCATAAAATAAAACACCTAATGCAAAAAGCTTATGAACTAAACTGGTTCCCACATTCTACACTAACATGCTTATATTTTTATTAATGAAACTTTATTTTGAAAAATGTTAAACATCCATTACCCTTTTTTTTCGCCTTTCCCGTTTTTCCATTCTTAAGCGTTTTTTCTCATCATAGCTTTCCTAAAAATACAAAAAGTATAAAAGTAGTAAAAACATAAAGGAAATTTAACTAACAAAAAGTAAAATAAAGATTACTTCTTGATATGTTTCCATATTTCAAAACCATTTACTGTTCAATATACCACTTATAAAATCCACCTTTAAAAGTATATGAATTTCATCCAATCAATTATATAATCATATTCCTAAAGTAAATGCACAATATTTATAAAAAATATAACAAAAATATTTCAAATATATATATATATTTATATACTGCTATACATACAAGATCTTCAATAGAAGCATCAAATGAAGATTAAGGTTTGAACAGGTATCACACAAATTTAAAGGACCTTTTTTTTAATAATAACAGTGTACATGTAAAATAACAATGTATAGAACCTAGGTAATCCAGGCTTTAACAACCAACTTATGTTATAAACTCTTAGAGTGTTTTAGAATCTAAAATGTTTAGATTTAAGTTATTCCAACAGTTAATAACATGGTTTGTTAAGAAAATGTATCTCTGGATTTTTTAATAATTGTCTATAAAATCTCATATATTGACCTCTTGTATATGAAGCGGTTAAATCAGGTGGGTATTCCAAGGTTAAACTATCTATATTTTTTTATATATATCTATAGACTTTACTCAACTGAAACCATGTTTTCTGTGCTATGATCTGATTCACATCCAGAAAGTTAATGTCAATGTTTATGTCACAGTTTTAATCTGTACTAAAGTGGAAACAACAATAAACTGTTGTTAAAAAAGAGTTTGTTGCAAAAACAAAATATATATTATATATATATATATATATATATATATATATATATATATATATATATATATTTATATATATATATATATATATGTATATATATATAAATATATATATATATATATATATACATATATATATATACGGAAGTATATATATATATATATATACATATATATATACGGAAGTATATATATATATATATATACATATATATATACGGAAGTATATATATATATATATATATATATTATATATATATATATATATATATATATATATATATATATATATATATATATATATACTTCCAGACATGCGCCAGCAATTTTTGGTCTTTGAGATAGCTAACTTCCAGACATGGAGCAGACTCCAAACATTTATAAGTTTATACTTATGTAAAAAAAGGATGCTTTGCAAAAAATTACAATGATAGGAGTTTGGGAACAAAAAAACCGACACTGATACTGCCCCAAACGTGAAAGCAACAAGTTGATGAAATAGTTTTTGCACTATTTTCAACTAGACTTATATTTATAAATAAATTTTAAGTTTCATAGTACTATCTCTCAGCGTTTAAAAACTATGACCATATAAAGTTTAAACCCCCTTCAAATTGTGGGGGTAAGAATAATACAGAATTAATCAGTAACAATAATGCAGTAAATGTTGTTGCTTATGTTGGATGTGCTACCAGCGATAGTAATATTGCTAATATGTAAAAAGAGTACTTTCAAAAATTGTAAAACTAACAATGAAAAATATTTCTTCTGCTTCATAAAGGAAATTGAACTTTCACTGAAAACTCTGATATTATTGTGAGTTGCATTGAAAAATCTACAACAATAAAAACTCAAAAACTAGGAAAAGCAGCTGGATCTGATGACCTTTGTATGGAATCTTTTATACAGATTGGGAGTAAGCTACAGCTTTTTATTAGTATTTTTTTATTAATTTATGCATTAAATATGGTTATTTACCATCTACTTTATTCACACATTACTCCACTAGTGAAATCTAAAATGGCTAATTTAACAGATGTGAACAATTATAGAGCCATAGCTTTTTCTCTGCTATGTCAAAATTATTTGAGACTCTTGTATTGCAGAAAATCGATATGCACAACATAATACAAATGATGATTACCAGTTTGGCTTCAATTTTAAAAAGACTGTTCAGCACTATACATTTAGAGGAAGCCATGTTTTTTCTTGTTTCATAGACTTTAATAAAGCATTTAACAGTGTCAATTACTAGCTGTTGTTTCAGAAATTAATATATAAGGGGTTACCCAAAAAACTTGTTTGGTTGCTTGCATTTTTGTATAGTATTTAGCAAATGCCGGTTCGATGGCAGGAAACAAAATTAAATAGTTTGGAGTTAGAAACGAGGTTCCTCAAGATAGTATATTGTTGCCACTTCAATTTAACTTTTATGTATATAATTTGATTTTATCAATCTTAAATCTATGCATTGGATGTAATATAGGTGGTATCTTCATGAGTGTGTTGGCTTACGCTGATGATATAGTTCTAATTCCATCCTTTTGGTTCTCTCTTTAAAAATTAGTTAGCTTTACAAATGAGGAATCTACTTTAATACCAAGAAATCGGTATTTATGATCTTTAATCCAACTCAAAATATCAAAAATTATATCAAACTCCTTCCCTGATTTATGTGTAACAGGCTTTAAATTGTTTTTGTTGAACCTTTAAATACCTTGGTCATATAATTAAAAATGACCTAATTGATGATCTTGATATAACCAAGAAGGTCTTTACACATGTACAAATGTTCTAATTAGACACTTTCATTTAAGCTCCACCAGAGTAAATGTTAAATTGTTTAAAACATATTTCATTTGTTTGTATGGTGGTTCCCTGTAGCAAAATTACAAAATTATACTGATAAAACAATGGCACACCTTCAGTATTGCTTCATCAAATGTGCTAAAATGTTTTTTGGTTACAACAAGTACAAAACTTTATCTCTTATACTTTTAGAGCACAGATTACCATCTTTTAAAACAATTATCTTAAACTACAGAATTTTTTTTATATTTTTATCAATTAATGGATCGTGCCTTAGTGATATATATATATATATATATATATATATATATATATATATATATATATATATATATATATATATATATATATATATATATATATATATATATATGTGTATATATATATATATATGAATATATTTCTGATAAGTCTTTATTGATAAAACAAAGTGTAAAATAAAAAAAGTTTGATAAGTGATTTTTTATTAATTTATTATTTCCCTGTTCTTTTAAAAACACTGAGCACTATTTTGTAGAATACATTTAAAATTATTTTAAATGTATTCTACAAAAAATTATTATAAACTATTTAATATACATATATTAAACAAGTATATGTATATATATATATATATATATATATATATATATATATATATATATATATATATATATATATATATATATATATATATATTTATATATATATATATATAAACTATATAATATACATATATTAAACAATATATATATATATATATATATATATATATATATATATATATATATATATATATATATACAAACTATTTAATATACATATATTAAACAAGTATATATATATATATATATATATATATATATATATATATATGTATATATATATATATATATATATATATATATATATATATATATATATATATATATATATATATATATGTATATATATATATATATATATATATATATATATATATATATATATATATATATATATATATATATATATATATTTTATATTCAATAACTATATATTCTATATTCAATAACTATATATATTCTAATATAAACTATATATATATATTTTATATTCAATAACTATATATTTTATATTCAATAACTATATATATATTCAATAACTATATTTTATTTCAAAGTAGTTCCGAAAAAAATTTCATATCTTTTTCGTCGTTAAGGAGAATTTGTAAATAAAGATTATGGCCACACGCACAATAATTTAAACTAAAAAACTTATAGCGTAAAATTGTTAAATAAGCCGATATAAAGATCTAAGTCTAACGTTCTATGTTGGCTTTTAAAAGAGAAGAAAGCATTATGAAAATCGTAACATATTTCTCAGTATCAACTTTTTATTAAATCAACTCAATCAATGAAGTATATGTTGTATATGAACAATTTAACATGAACTAAATAGGAATCTTAGCGATTTTCCTAATTAATCTAATATATTAAATTTTTTGTATTACTTGTCCACTATCCGTTCTGATTTCTATTTTTTTTTAAGAATTTTTATTTCATTGTTTTCAAATTTGCATATAATGTGTTGTTAAGCATTGTTATGTTATTATTTTTTTTCAAGCTTTAAAAAAATTCTCAAAAATAATTTCAAAGTTCGCACAAGTAAATTTTGGTTTCAAGATATTAAATAGAAATGCATTCAAAAGCTACTAAAGGTAATTAAAAAGTTTTATATACAATATATGTCAAAACAGTCTGTTTTGACATATATTGATTTTGAAAACATAGTATTGAATAAAGTTCTGTAATTGTTTTCTAGAACAAATGTTCTCTAAAATAAATGTTGTTCTTTATTGCTAGGTATATCCAGTGGAGTATAAGGGGACATCTAAACATAATCTTTTATTTAGATAAGATAGTAGCTCATATTATTTCATAAAAGATTTATTTATTTATTGAATTTGTAGTTTCTATTTCATAGAATATGTTATGGCTATATTATTCTAAACAACCAGAGTTGAGACCATATCATGACAAGATCATATCATGGCATCTCTATCCCCCTCCCACCTCCTCCCCATAAAAATTGCAAATAATTTGTGATTTTTGGTTAACTACCCAAAACAATTTGATGTTACAAATCAATGAAATGCTTTGCAGTCTCTTCATTAAGTGTCTGTAATAATAATGTAGAATATCTCTTACGTTATCAATTCAATAAAATATAATGTTAATAGACCCCATTTATGTTTAGGCTACTCAAAATATAGTTTTTTCAAAACTGCTTATCTATGTTTTCCAAATTTAAAAACGCAGTGCACTTTGGCCCAGCAGCAATCCGAGTGGAGAGATCTAAGTTTCTTAGAAATAGAAGCATTTGGCCTGGAAACTGAGTCTGCTCTAAATGCAATGACGAATGAATTTTTTTGGAACAAAATCTTTTTCATCAAAACAGTTTTTGATGTTCTGAAATTTCCTAAATTATGGATTTGTGTTTGCTGTCTATTTTCTCTGCTTATAAGTAATATTACAGCTGAAAGAGCACAACAAAAATGTTTTTTCAAAAAAATAAAAAACATTTTTACTGTGAAAAAATAGTAAGATTCTTTGCATGATTTTAGGCAAAAAATGCACTACTTGAGACAAAATAGAAGATTTTTATTTAATTTTTTATATCATATTTTTAAAGATTTTTAGAATCTTATAATATGATTAAATTAAGTTACATTAAAGGGAAACTTTGTGATTTCAATTTTTTAGCATGGAAGCACTGGAGCTGACTGTCAGATTTCTAAAAAGTCAGAAACTTTCCATTTAGCCAAACTGCATCAACTACATCCTGCCCTAATTTATTTAGACAGTTAAGAACACTGTTCGTAAAAAACTGCTTACATTCTGGATAACCTTTGGTTCCTTAGAGTTTTTACAGGCCATTTTTCTTATGCTATATGCTGAGATTGATTAGAAAGGCTGTAGTTTCAACATATCATTCAACCTATTTTTAATGATGATGAATTTGGTATTGTATTTTGAAATGGAATGAAAAATACAATACAAAAATTCAGGCCTTGTTTTAAAGTGTATTACGCGTAAAGCAATTTATATACGCCTTGAGCAACTTTATGAAAGCAGTAAACAATTTAGGTTAAGCAACTTTTTATCATTTTTTAACTTTAAAATTTTTCTATAAGTGGTAAGATAAAATAATTAATAGTTTTTTTTTTAATCACATTAATTTTTGAATGAGGCTTGTGTAAAAATTATTGTTACAAATGTTTGAATGACAATTATGTTAGATATAAGCGCTATTTACTAATGAAAAAAACTCAAATAAAATTAAAAAATTTATTTTGTTTTTGTTTTATTGTTATGATTGATTTTTTCGCTTAAAAATGCTAATACTTTAAGCTTGAAGCAAAGATCATAATAATATAAAATCATTCTGATAAAAAATATATGATTTAATTTAAAAATAATTTAATAAAAATATATAATTTTATTTTGATTAAAAAAAAATGTATAATTTAGTTTGGATTTTAAAATTATATATTTTAATTTTGAATTAAAAAATATATTTAAGTTTACTAAACTTAAAGTTAATGATTGGGTTTAACTTAACTGTCAAATTTAGTCAAAAATATTACTAAATATTTTTCAATATTTAAATTTTATTTGTTCTTAAACAAAAATTAGTTTTTTTTATTGATTTTCCTTCCTAAACATTTGTAAAATCATTTGTAGTTGCAAAGCCACTATTAAAAATTTAAGAAAAAATCATTTATAAACTTAAAAATTTAACATATTTTAATTTATTTATGCAAATGTAGAGAAAATAAAAAAATTTGTTAATATTAAATATTTAAAAAAATGTAATATTAAATTTAATTATTTAATATTAAAAAGAAAAAAGAAAAAAGAAAACAAGTATTTCCTTGTAGTAATAATAAAAAAGAAGTTAAATAACATTAAACTTGTTTTGGAGTAATTTATATTATTGCAGTAATTTAAAAAATGTCTTTAAAAAACAAAAAAATAAAAAGAATTTTATGTTGCCAAATTCATATTAGCATTTTTTATTTAAAACAAGGCCTAAGCCTTGTACACAAAACTCTAAATGGGGTTTAATGTACAACATTAAATCCAGATTGTATCTGTTACCATCAATATCAGCCATGGTGTTAGTTAGTTTTTCTGAAAACCAAATTCCATTACTTTGCACTTCAACACATTAAAATTCATGAGTCAGTTGTACAACCAATATACAGCGCTTTTAAAAATCATTTAGTAAAATGAGACTTTTTGCAAACCCGGCCCCAGCAAAACTATAAGATTTAGCAGGGGTTGATAGACAGGGCTAGAAAAAAATTTATAATACTTAATATATTATAATTTTATGCTTACATTTACTATTGTTTAAGTACTGGCATACATTAATATATATATTTAAAATTTAATATAGTTCCAACAAGATTGCAAGCAACCAAGCAATCATATTAACCAAGCAATTTATCAATTTAAGCAATTATTAACCAACCAAGCAATCATATTAAGTTATGAGTTACTTTAAAATAGAGAATAAGTTAAAATACTAGGAAACATATAATGGAAGACTTGAAAAGTTGAAAGTTTTATAAAAAAGAATACGTGAAGATGGGTAATGTTATAAGCTTTTTTTGATGTTCAAGGAAAAAAACTGGATTAATAAAAGTTTTTATAACATGAAGGGACAGATACAGTAAAAAAAAGCAACTTGTTGAATAAAATGTCAAGCAAGAATTCATTTTGGTTTATCGTTGTAGAGATGATAGCTCGTTTGAGCATTGACCATGATTGTGTTTGTAGAAAAAAGAAAGAACTGCAACCTTACATCAATGGGAAAATGGCTCAAGTTTGGCAGATAAAGTAGGTCTAATTACATTGAGAATGTGCTTTTAGACTTTGTCTGAGTGTAAGAGGGTTGTTATTAGTCAATATAGGAATGCCAACAATATTGCAATATTTTTTTGCAGTAAATAAATGAGTTTTGTCAAACAAAAATTGTGGATTTTAAGCTTGTTCTAAGCAATTAAAAAGTGAAAAAAATTTTTAACACAAGAGTATAAAGTTAAGTCATCAGCAAATTGAGTTACTTTAGATTTCATGAAGATCGTTATTGTAGATAAGAAATAATTCAGGAGCAAAGATAGAACCTTGTGTTACCCTTGAAGTTAATTTAAATAAAGAAGAGGGTAGGCCTTCAAGAATAACTTTAATACTATAGTTAGAAAAAAATAATTTAATAAACTCAAAAAAGTGAAGATTAATTGTAGGATATTTAGAGAGGTCAAAGTTTTTTCTAGAGTTTTAAAAAATATGAACCGCTTATTTAGCAGTTTTATAAAGTTTAGCAAAAATTGAAGAATGATGGAAATCTTTTCTGGAGCACAAACTGCAGAAGTGTTTAATTGAGAATTAACTTTAGCATTAAAACCAAAAAAATTTCATTGTTAAACAATGGCTTAATCTTTTTAACTGTCAGGAAGAGTATGGCCAATACATTCAAGAATCAAATTAGAGCAAGATTTCTTTGCAAATAAGTTGCAAATGAATAATTAAATGTTAGAATAACTTTAGTTAATGACACTGTTAAAAACTAATCAAAAGTCTCTAGAACCTAACATCTGAGATAAGATTTAGTAAACTGAGAATAACAGAGCTTGACATGGACTTTTTACATTGGCTTTTTGCGATAATAAAAGAACATTTGTTCTTCAGAGAAATGTTTTATTTTAAAAAATGAATAATATTTAATAAAGCCACTGCTCAATATGGTGAAAAATGTAGGGTAGAATGAGGTTTTACTTAAAATTGAAGAGAATGAATAAAAGCTTCCAAACTTTCATTCCAGAAGGAATAAAAGCTTTTAAGATGTGCTTTATGCGTACATATTACAAATATAAATATATATTTTTGCTATTTATTTAGATGCTAGCATACAATATCCTTTCATTGTTATATATACTTTAGTATTTATATGGTGTAGCATTTGCCAAAAAAGAAGATGATCAAATGGATGTGTGGTATGACTCTTAGTAAGTGAGCGGAGCCCCTGCTAAAAATGAGACTTTTTTCAAACCCAGCCCCGGCTAAACTATAAGATTTAGCAGGTGTTGATAGCCAGGGCTAGAAAAATATTTATAATATTTTATATACTATAATTTTATGCTTACATTAACTATTTATTATATACTTAATTTTTTTTAATTATTTATTATATAAATAAGTTTTGTTGTCTAACAAAAATTGCAGATTTTAAGTCCAGAATTTAAATCCCTAAGCCACAGCAAGACTTCGGCTGTTATAGAAGAGAGATCAGATTAAAAATCAGTTCTATATTTTAAGCAATCAAAGAGTGAAGATTTTTTGTCAAGACCAGAGTAAAGTTGAGGAGTAAAGTTAAAGAGTAAAGTTGAGTCATCAACAAATATATATTCACTTTAGATGTTTAATTTTCATGAAGATTGATATTGTAGAGAATAAATAATACAGAAGGCAAAGATTTAAGTGTACCACAAGATACCTTGTGGTACTCTTAAAGTTACTTGAAATAAGGAAGAGTGTAGACCTTCAAGAATAACTTTATTACTGCAGTTGGTAAGAAATAATTTGATAATCTCGAAACCTTTATATAAAGAAACTAATAACAGAGTGAAGACGAAGTTTTAGTCCAGAAGGAATAAAAGCTCCTGATATGTGCTTTATTATATGCATACATATTATGGACATTAAGATGCATACATATTATGGACATAAACATTAATATTTGCTATTTATTTATATGCTGGCATAACTTTATGTTGTTCGACACATTTAAAAGCCATTTTGTTGTTGTTAACGTTTTCTTTTACTTATATATAAAGTTTGCATCTACAAAAAAAAATTGTTTACTTTATATAGCATAACATACAACTTGTGACTCTTGTCGATAATTAATAAAAAACGTTATAATAATGGAAAATCACAACTTGTGACTTTTGTCAATAATTAGCACGCTAATTATTAATGACGCACAACACTTTAGTATTTATATGGTGTAACATTTGCCAAACAAGAAGATGATCAGATGGATGTGTGGTGTGACTCTGGAAAGACAAGAAAACGAGGCATAATATTAGACTGGTTGGAAAAAATCTTGTATCAAACAACGTTTGTTAGAAAAGATTAAAGTGGTTTAGTTATCAGCATGTAGAGAGGTAGCAGCTTTAGTACAAAATGGTAATGGTAGAAGTAGAAAAACTTAAAGAGAGTGCCTTACATAATGTATGAATGAGCTTTAGTTAGGAAAAAAAATGCTCTAGATAGTTTATATTAGAGAAACAGCATAAAAGAGGAAGGCTTAAGTGTGATGATCATCATCATCATTTTCACTATCATGGTAATGATGATTATGATGGTCATGTTGATCATAATGATGTTAATATATGCATATACAACCCTCGGAGTTAGGGTTAGCATTTGGCAATGCCGACCTAACTGCCGACCTGAAAGTGTTTGAGGTCTGCAAAAAATTGTTGACCTTGTTTCTATGTTTTATGGTTAGACCATTGTATCAAATAATTTTTGCCAACCTGATGCTGACCTCTAAAAGATTGAGGTTCCAGCTATATTTTATCAAACCTGGCCCCAACCCGGTCAAATCAACCATAATCACCATGTCGGCTTGTAGTTTTTTGGTAGTACAAGAAAGACTGATTGACATCAATAACTCTTTTGATCTTGCAATCATCAGCGTAAAAATTGGTTTGGTTATAAATGCAGTCTGGTAAGTTATTAATGAAGAACGCGATAGCAGTGGTGCAGGAACTGATCCTTGAGGGACGCCACTACTCTTTTTTCCCTAATCGGACTACTTATTGTCGACTATCAGCTAGCCAACCAGTAATCCAGTTTAATTGTTTTCCTAGTTTAATAGCTAGATATATTAATAACTAGACATGATTCTTATGAAGAAGTCTTTGTGTGACACTGTGCTAAATGCTGTAGCAAAGTCTATAAAAATTTTGTCAATACCTTGAATACTCAGGTATCAATGATAAACTGATGCTATTTTGCGGGATTTAACCAGGTTTGTTGACACTTTAAAATTAGATTGTGTACAGTATTTCATAATCTTATCCTTAATAATTCTCTTTGTCACATTTGCACAGTAAAGAGGTGACAGACACCAGCTTGTAGTTATAAGCTTTGATTTTGTTTCTGTTTTTGAGATGGGACATTCGATTTGTCTTATTTAATATTATGTTATACAATTATCTGTGCAGATGTTAATGGTGTGGTACAATATTGACAATAACATGCTAATATTTCCATGCGTTTTTACATTAAACTGTTTTAAATAGCTTGAGGAGTAGATATAAACACCTGCCTTAAAGCAAACTTTGAAAGATAATTTACTATTGCGTTCAGTTCACAGCATCTGTATAGATCTGGAAGTTGTGAGCATGTTGAAAATGCTGTATTATGTATGCATAAGCATTTGACCAGAAACTTATGTGTATCGCAATCCATTTTTTTAGCATGTTTTATTTCAATAAGAGTAGCCTAAAAAGTAATTTGTTCTATGGCTAGACTAGCTTGATGTAGGTTTGATTTATTTTTTACATTTTAACTTTATTTGCTAAAATCTAACAATTCTCTACAGAGTGTTTAAATTTATGAAATTTTAGTACTTATGTAATTTTTTTTTATTTCATTTATGAAATTTTAGTATTTATGAAATAAAAAATATTTTAAAAAAGTATTTATGAAATATAGTTATAAAGTTTATAAAAAATAAGTTTACGAAGTATAATTTATTTATAAAAAAAAGTATTTATAAAAAAGTGTTTACGAAATAATTTTTTTTTTAAAAACCTTCGAAGTTTATCTTATACAATAAAATGTTTTGTTTCGATAAAAAATGTCTATTTTAATCTCTTCAATATAAATCAACATTCACTCAACATTTTTTCTATGATTTCGACGCACCTACCATGGAAAGGAAATAAGTTATTTAAAACATTAATTCGTTCGTAATTTAAATAAAGCAAGTTGATTTTTGTACATACACTATGAATCAAATTTATTTGATACCTAATCAGCAAAAACCATTTTTTTACTTTTTTGTAATTAAAATCATCATGTTATATATATATATAGGGTTTAAAAGCCAATTTTACACTAACTTGGTTCATGAAAATTTATTTAAAAAAAAAAAACATATCTAACAATATAAGATAAATTCTTTATAGAGACATAAAAACACTGTAACAACACATAAAAAACAGAAAAAGCAAAAAAGTTTAAACATTGTTTGACATTTCTAAAAAAAAAATTTTGTCTTTTGAATTCTGTCGCCGCTATTTTTTTGGCGCCCAGGGCACGTATGCGCTTTTTGCGGCCCTGCCTCGGGTTATATCAAATATGTTATTGTTTATTTATGGTTTTATTGTATTTAAATAGTTTTTTTATCTTTTAAGATTTAAAAATGTTTTTGTTTTTTTATCTTTTAGCAATAAGTACCGATGGAGATTCTTGCTCAAAAAAAGTCCCAAATGATCCAATAGACCAAGATGATACTCTTCGATCATTGTTAATGATTTTTGCAATCTTTACTTGTGCTTTTTTAGCTATGTTATACTTATACTTGCATTCACCGACACTTAGTAAATCTGATGCTTCAAAAGTGAAGTTACCCAAAAACTTAGAGGATGCTAAAGCACTTGGTCGAGTAATATCAAATTACAAAGATGATTACTATGGTTATGTTTTAATAGCTTTTGTTCTGACATATATTTTTTTGCAATCATTTGCTATTCCTGGATCGATCTTCTTAAGCATCTTATCTGGTTTCATATTTCCCTTCCCTCTCGCATTGTTTCTTGTGTGTTTATGCTCGAGTCTGGGAGCAACTCTTTGTTATATTTTGTTTTCGATTGTTGGTAGAAAATTAGTAAAGAAATATTTCCCAGACAGGCTTATCAATTGGAAGAAGCAGGTAGAAAACCATGAAAAAGATATGCTTAGTTATATAACTTTTTTACGAATTACGCCTTTCCTTCCTAACTGGTTTATAAACATAACCGCTCCTGTTTTAAACGTTTCGATTTGGCCATTTTTTTTTGGTACATTTATAGGCGTTGCACCTCCTTCTTTTGGTTTTATCAGTGCTGGTGTAGAACTTTACGAACTTTCCGCTACTGGGGATGCATTTTCTTTTAAATCTGTTATTGTTGTTGTTATGTCAGCGTTAATTTCTTTGCTTCCTGTAATATTTCGAAAAAAGTTACAAAAGAAACTGCAATAATATTTTTTTATTGACTAAAATCAACTGTAGATTATTTAATTTATATACTTTTAATAATATATATTTATATATATATATATATATATATATATATGTTGTTGTTGTTGTTGTTGTAAGTTTTAGACTTTTTTAAAAGTTTATTTAGTAATTTTAGACATTAAAAAGCATTTAAAAACTGTTTAGTATAATTGTTTTGGAAAAAAAAAACAGTAAAAACTTAAATGAATCAAATATGAAGACCACACGAGTAAAACCACAGGAGTCCGCTTTTTGAAAATTTCAAGTTTAAGATATTTTTATGATATAATGGTACTAAGCTATTTTAATATGAAAGTTCATAACAAAAAAACAATGTTATATGGTTCTATGGTCATTTAAAAAAAGGGGCAACTTTGAAACAACTAATGTTGTCGAATGTTTACTTTGAAAGAAACGCAGTTGTCCCAGTTATTTAAAGCTAAACAAATGGTAAATTTTAAGTCACGTGACCAATTTATATTTTTTTAAATATGGCGTATCTAAACGAAACTATAGTCACATAAAAAAACTTAACAAAAAAAGAAGTCAAATTATGGAAATGAGAGTTTGTTCGAGATCTAAAATTAATAAATCATGTCACAGAAATACCATGTAGTTGTGTTAATCTAAAGTATTTTAAAGTTACAACAGAAGATGATCGAATAAAGTTAATATCGTATTTTAACAACTTGAAAGCAAAGGATGAGCAGTTTTAACTTGACTTCTAAAATCAGAAAGTACTAAAAGTTATAAAATTCTGTGGTAATCACAGCTTCAATAATAGTTTTATATACCTTATTGAACAATAATATCCTCATATAAATAAAGCAACGTCAAAAACAAAACAAAAAAGAACATTTTGGCAGATTCAATCAAACTTTTGTAGCCACAAGACTCATGTGCCTACCCTTATCATATCTTGAACTGGTACCATTCTTCGTTGCTCTCAGCATATAGTCCACTACATACATTACAATAATTTTTGTTGTCTTTGGCCCAAATTTTTCTTTATTTCAATTCTGATAAATGCATTTCATTATCTAACCTTGTACCACCATGCAATTATAAGGTATCACAAGAATCACGTTTTTTCTCAAATACGTCGATTTTATTTATTTTTTTAAGTATCTGTGAATGTACCTAAGGCCATGTTGCGATTGTTAGATTTTAAATTTTTTCTTGTTCCTGATTTTAAAAAGAGTCTTTAATTTCAGGGAAAACGATTTGTTACAGTGATGTTGATTGCTGCATTAAAGAAAATGACAACGTTATGTTTTTAGTCGATCTATTTGTTTGCATGGGTTTAAACCCATGTTTTATTATTGAACTGGTTGCCAGTAACCACTGCCTTTAAAACCTCTTTTATTGCTGCATTTGTAGGCCTTTGTCAATTTTTAGAAGTTGATAAAAAAATATTAAATTAGAATGAGAAAATCTAAAAAATTAACCTTGTACCCATTGGTGTATTGAAAGAATCAATAAAAAAATTAAATCGTGCCATAAAAAGTGGACGTACTATCTGAAAAAAAAGGTAGAAATTTCTCCTAACGGTATGATATGTAATATACCCTTGGTAAGGTATATTATATCTACACCTTCTTAGGAAGAAAACAATAACTTTAAGATAGAAAATTGTATAAACTTTAATTTTTAATATAATTTTATTTTTATTTTTATGTAGATATTCTAGGTGCTCCCAGAAGTCCTTACGGTCTTATCACAGAGCACCGCGGAAGAGCATTTAACAAAGAGTTCAAGCAGATTGTTTTAAACTTTGTATGGTTAACAATATAACCTTAAATTAACATACTTTACTAAAATTTTATTATAATATTATTTCTAAAAATAAGGGATATATATTAGAGATACATGTATATATCCCTTATTTTTATGATGTATATATCCCTTATTTTTAGAACCAGTATATGCCGGGTCCCCGATTCCGGGAACCCGGTGGTAAAAACTGGGTCCGCGACCAGGTGCCCGGCATTGAGTCCATGAAAAAAAGGTAAGAATAAAAAAAAAAAATTAATTAAATAAAAAATAATTTAGACAGCACTTTTTTGCTGTATTTTATTTTAATTTCTTTTATTATTTTTTGTTTGAAACAATTGAAAAACGTTATCAGCGTTCGAAATAATGAAAAATTAGACGATCAAATATTTTTTTCGACAATAATTGATTGAAAACTTCATTTAAATAGAATTTAAAAACGGCTAAAAAATAAATTAATTCTCGTAAAACTATGCAATATTTCTTTGTTTTTAGCAGCCGTGGGCAGTGGTAGATTGCTCGCCTCAGAAACAAGAAGAAGCGCGCTCCCACTCGCTTCTGAAGAGCACGCCCCTCCCCCTATTTTTTTTTTTTTTTTTTGAGGACCTTCTTCTTTTAAATAAATTCAAGTTTTTTATAAGAAATTGAAGAATTTTTTCTGAAATAAGGTAGTGTGCCCACCCACTTTAAAGGTAGAAATTTTTTTTGTATGACTTTTGAGGTTTTAGCGATTTAACCTTTTTAAGAATCAACGTTTCCATTATTTTACAATAATAACAATAAACAAGACCGTTATTATGCAAAACTAAGAATATATTACCAGTAAAAACTTGAGTTTTAAATGACTAGGAAACAACCCCACTTTGACATAATAAGTCTGTGCCAGTACATTTTAAAAAATATATTTTTCAATGGTAATAGAAAAATGGTTTTCCAAAACAATAAACTAATTTTAAAAACTAAATTTACGTCTTGAAAATTGACGAGTTGAGTCTTGAAAATTGGCAAAGGCTAAAAAAAATTTTTTTCAAAAGTTAACTTTTTGGTGCGAGGTAAATTTTTTGTGTGATCGACACTATTCAAAAATATGCACACTATTAGGGTAATATAATGCTATAGTTGATTTTTTTATTAAATAAAAAAAAAAATAGTTATTTTCAAAAATATTTGGGTTATAAAATGACCTTAATTTTTGTATCAAATTATCTCTAAAAATAAAAATGTTAAAAAAATATTTTTGGTACTGTTGTTAAGCTGCGGTTCTACTCTTTGAAATAAACAAATAAAAAGTAATAGTATTTTAAGTTATTGATTGAACGATGGAAGAACACACACCTCAAACTATAGTGTCGGCATAAATTCCCTCAGATCTTTTTTCTTTAGCCGTGTTTTATCGATTATCGATTATATTACGCGCTCAGATGTTAAGTGCCTACGAGTTTTTCTTTACAACAGCATGTATATAACTAAAGTAACAAAAAATTTCTTATTTTTATTTTTTTAATTTTAAAAAATACTGGTAGTTTTTATGATAAAAAACACTATAAATTTACGCTATACTTAGTTATACTTGTTAAACCTTTTTTTATTATGATATGTTATTCGTGGTATTATTATGTTGTATTTTTTCACGTTGTGTTTATATTACGTCATGTAGTTATAATGTAAATTTATTGAAGTTGTAAAACAAAAACAAATATATATATATATATATATATATATATATATATATATATATATATATATATATATATATATATATATATATATATATATATATATATATATATATATATATATATATATATACACACACATATATAGCAAATATATATTCGAAAGAGTAATTTAAGCGAGACACGTCTAGTTTTAGTACAAACAATGATAGGGGATTGCGTTTATCTGCAAAGTCTTTCATCAAAAAAAGCCAATAATTTCAGGAAACCTTCTTAGTTGACCATTTCATCTTTCACTGAAGTATTGTGGGGATTTGCGCATGCGCATAAAAGATATTGTGATTTATGTATTTTTCCACATTTTTGTAACTTTTACAACTTCTTTATTTTTAAAAGCAATTTCATCAAGTACACGTAAACTTGATTTGAGTTAAATCTTGCATGGTTCAGTAAAATCTGTCCAACCATTATTTTTTATTTATATACGTTTTTCAGGGATCGGTAGAGGAGTTTGTGACCATAGAGCTGTCGGGAATAGTTGGCAAAATTTTGCCGGGGCAAGTTGGCCGTATATATTAACTAAACCCGGTTGCGATTGGACATAAATTTCAACCTTTTCTAGAACTTTTGATTTATTTTTTTTAAAAATCGATTAGATAAATAGATCACATATTACATATATATATATATATATATATATATATATATATATATATATATATATATATATATATATATATATATATATATATATATATATATATATATATATATATATATATATATATATATATATATATATATATATATATATATATATATATATATATATATATATATATATATATATATATATATATATATATATATATACTATATTTATATATATATATATATATATATATATATATATATATATATATATATATATATATATATATATATATATATATATATATATATATGTATATATATATATATATATATATATATATATATATATATATATATATATATATACATATATTTATATATATATATATATATATATATATATATATATATATATATATATATATATATATATATATATATATATATATATATATATATATATATATATATATATATATATATATATATATATATATATATATATATATATATATATATATAGACCCTTAGTCGGCAAATTGGACCTAGTTAGTCGGCAAATGTGGACCCTTTTGATATAGGTTGGACAGTCGGAAACTGTCGTCGTGACAGTCGGCAAATTTTGGAAAACGAGGATCTTTTTTTTTTTTTTTTTTTTTTAGTCGGCAAAAGTTGTAATGGCACCCCCCCACGTGACACCTACTCGCGCCGGCCCTATATATATATATATATATATATATGGTAAAGTCGTATTTTATGTACGTAAACTAATCAAGTACAAAACGCAACTTACGTATTGCGTAATTAAAAAGGATTAAAAAATTCTTTTTTTTTATAAACATATTTAAACAAAAGAATTTGCATAATTAAGACTTCTTCATTTTTAAAAAGAATTTTTTTATTAAAAAAAACTAAAACTAAAAATTTTACAATAGTTTATTAAGAAATACTGTCTATACTCTTATATTTCGTTTTTATAACGCTTTTTAAATTGAACGATGCCCAGACCGCAGGCATCTCGTTGTATTGTTCCTGATAATGAGTTGATACCACCTAATGATATTTTAACTTTAAGGTATAATCTTTCATCATTAGCTCGTCTTTTATCAAATGAAAATGATGTAATTAATTGGTGTGCCCGACATCGGCTAATATAAAATTCATTTATTTGCACTACTTGTCAAATTCAATTCTTGTGGATTAATTAATCGGAGAAAGGTAATTGATTGAAAAACATGGTACTGTCTACAGTGTAAAAAAATATATAGCATCCGAACCAACAGCTTTTTCTGCAGAAGTCATCTTTTGCTGTATCAGATTATAGTGATAATTTATGGGTTTGCAGTTGCTTTTACCCAAAAAGACATTGCGCGGGAAGCAGAGTTAAATCGCAAATACACAATGGTTGATTGGTGTAACTTCTGTAGACAACTTTGTGAGTAGTGGCTTGAGGAAAATCCATGTGAAATAGGTGGTATAGACGTTTCCGGCCAACCAATTATTGTTCAAATAGATGAATCAAAGTTTTATCACAGAAAATACCATCGTGGACAATTTCGGCCAAGTCACTGGGTATTTGGTGGAATTGAACGTGATTCAGGCAAATGCTTTCTTGTTGAAGTGCTAGATAGATCAGTGGAATCACTTCAAGCAGTAATTGAAAGATGGATTTTACCTGGTTCACATATAATATCAGATGGCTGTGCATCGTATGCAAACATAGATACATGGAGTGATGGCATATATAGCCATGAAGATGTTGTACACCAAGAAAATTTTGTTCACCCTAATAATCCTCATATTCACACTCAAAATATTGAAAACTTATGGATGCGAGCAAAAAAGAAGCTTCGCAGACAAAGTAGTACAAGTGAAGATTTGTTTACAAACTATTTACACGAGTTTGTTAGGAGAAATTCCATCAAAAACAAAACCTAATTTTTAATGAATTCCTACTACTCGTCAATTCAATATATCGAATTTAAATTTTTATAAAAAGATAAAAAATATATACAATAACGTATTTTTATTTAAAAACATCAATAGAATCAACTTTTTTATTTTGTGTTTTACGGTTGCATAATTATGCATTAATATTTTGTAAAACTCTTTAATTGAAAATACTATTAGTTGCGTTTTCGCTTTTTTTGTTTACGTACATAAAATACGACTTTACTATATATATATATATATATATATATATATATATATATATATATATATATATATATATATATATATATATATATATATATATATATACTAATATATATATATATATATATATATATATATATATATATATATATATATATATATATATATATATATATATATATATATATATATATATATATATATATATATACTAATATATATATATATATATATATATATATATATATATATATATATATATATATATATATATATATATATATATATATATATATATATATATATATATATATATATATATATATATATATATATAAACTGGACCCTTAGTCGGCAAATTGGACTGTTTTAGACTAGTTAGTCGGCAAATGTCGACTCTTTCGATATAGGTTAGACAGTCGGCAAATTTCGGAAAACGATGACCTTTTTTTTTTTTTTTTAGTCGGCAAAAGTTGTAATGGCACCCCCCCCCCACGTGACACCTACTCGCGCCGGCCCTGTATATATATATATATATATTGTATATAAAAATTATGTTAGTGTTATTATTTACAAATAGAGTGCTCAATGATCTTAAAAAACATATAAGTTATATTTTATAACTAGATATTAGTATGTGTTATAACACATACTAATACAATGTGTGTGTGTGTGCGTGTGCGTGTGTGTGTTAACACATACTAATATATATTAGTATCTGTTATATACACACATATATATATATGTGTGTTATAACACACGCATATATATATATATATATATATATATATATGATTGGAACAATATGTGACTAAACAATATGTTGGAACAATATGTGACTAAAGCTTTTGATATTTATTATGGACTTTCTCCTAAGGAAATGAGGCAATTAGCTTATCAGTATGGAAAAGCGAATAGCATAAAAATGCCTCATAATTGGAGTGCAAATGATGCAGCTGGAGAAGACTGGTTCAGTGCTAACCTCAAACGGCACAAAAAACTGTTAATAAGAAAACCTGAGGCAACAAGTCAAGCACGTGTTTCCAGTTTTAATCCAACAAATGTTCAAAAGTTTTACAACAATTTACAAACTATTCTTAATTGTTTAAAGTTGGAATATGGATGAAACTGGTATTACCACAG